CACATAAACCTTCTATCTCTAAATCTTGCTATGATCATTTATTATTTCCAGGGTTTTTTTTTTTGTTTTATTTTTATTTCTTGTGCATCTTTGGGATTTTTTACACAGACAATTATGTCATCTCTGAACAAAGACTGTTTTAATTTTTCTCCCAATCTGTATACAATTTATTTCCTTTTCTTGTTTTATTGAATTAGCTGTCATTTTCAGTATAATGTCCAATAGGAGTAGTGACAAGGGACGTCCTTGCCATGATCTCAATCTTAGGAAAAAGCATTTAACATCTTATAATTAAGTATGAGGTTAGCTGTAGTTTTTTTGTAGTTGTTCTATATCAAGTCAATGAAGTTACCCTATATTCCTACTTTGCTAAGAGTGTTTTCTTTTTTTAAATCATGAATATGGGTCTGGTGCTTTCTGTTTTGGAAGGTTATTAATTATTAATTCAGTATCTTTATCAATATAGGCCTATTTAGATTACTTATTTCTTTTTATGTGAGTTTGGTAGACTATATACTTAGATAAATTGTTCCATTTTATCTAAGTTATCAAATATGTGGACATAGAATTATTATTATTTATTATGATTTTAATATTATGGGATCAGTAGTGATAATCTTTTTTTTCATATCTGATTTTAGTATTTAGTGCCTTCCCTCTTTTTTTTTTCATTGTTAGAATGGCTAGAGGCTTGTTAGTTTTAATGAACTTTTCAAATAACTAATGTTTGGTTTCATTGATTTTCTCTGTTAATTTCCTGTTTTCAACGTCATTGATTTCTCCCATAAAATTTTATTACTTTTTTTCTTTTAGACTAAATTTGATCTTCTCTCTAGTTTCCTGAGGTAAAAACTTAGATAATTAATCTGATACCTTTCTTCTTTTCTAATACACATATTCAATGCTCTAAATTTACCTATAAGCACTGCTTTTGCTGAATATCACTTTCTTTTTTATTTAGTTCAAAATATTTTAAATTTTTCTTGAGAATTCTTTAACCTACATACCATTTAGAAGTATGTTGTTTAATTTCCGCATATTTGAGGAATTTTCCAGATATTTTTCTGTGATTGATTTCTAGTTGAATTCTACTTTGGTTTTGTTAGCATAGGTAGCTAGATATTAATGAAGGAAAGGAGCAAAGGGAATTATCAAGCATTATCCACACAGCCAGGGCTCTATTTGTACTTCTTAATCCCCTCACCTCTTCACCCATTCCCCTACGTCACCACCCTCCCATCTGGAAACTATTTCAATTGTTGACAGATAGGTATTTTTTGCCATTTTACTGTTCATAGTTTTGATCTTCTTTTTCTTAAATAAGTTTCTTTAACATTTCATATAATAATGGTTTGGTGATGATGAACTCATTTAGTTTTTTCTTCTCTGGGAAGCTCTTTATCTCTCCCTTGATTCTAAATGATAGCTTTGCTGAGTAGATATCAGTCTTGGCTGTAGGTCCCTGCTTTTCATGACTTTGAATATTCCTCACTAATCCCTTCTAGCCTGCAAAGTTTCTTTTGAGAAATCGGCTGACAGTCTTATGGGAACTGCCCTGTAGGTAACTAACTTCTTTTCTCTGGCTGCTTTTAAGATTATCTCTTTATCTTTAACTTTCGGCATTTTAATTATCATGTGTCATGGAGTGGGCCTCTTTGCATCCATCTTGTTTGGGATTCTCTGTGCTTCCTGGACTTGCATGTCTATTTCCTTCACCAAATTAGGGAAGTTTTCTTTCATTATTTTTTTCAAATAGATTTCCAATTTCTTGCTCTTTCTCTTCTCCTTCTGAAGCCCCCATAATGTGAATGTTGGACCTCTTGAAGTTGTCTCAGAGGCCCCTTATGCTATCCTCAATTTTTTGCATTCCTTTTTCATTTTGTTCTTCTGGTTGGTTGATTTTTGTTTCCTTATGTTCCAAATCATTGATTTGATTCTTTGCTTCATTCTCTCTACTGTTGTTTCCCCATAAATTGTTCTTTATTTCTATGCATGTATCCTTTGTTTCTGACTGGATCTTTTTTATACTGTTGAGGTCCTCGTTAAGCTCCTTGAGCATCCTTATAACCAGTGATTTGACCTCTGCATGTGACAGATTGCTTATCTCCATTTTGTTTAGCTCTTTTTCTGGACTTTTGATCTGTTCTTTCATTTGGGCCAGGTGTCTTTGTCTCCTCTTTTTGGGAGCCTCCCGATGTTTGTTTCTATGTATTAGGTAGAGCTGCTTTGACTCCATGTGTTGGTTGTGTGGCCTAATGTAGTTTGTGTCCTATAGGGTCCAGTGGCATAGCCTCCTCTGTAACCCAAACTGGATACCCAAGGTGTACCCTTCATGTGGGCTGAGTACATCCTCCTCTTGTAGTTGAGCCTTGGTTGGTGTTGGCAGATCAATGGCAGGGATTTATCCAGGCCAGTCAGCTGCAAGAAAAAGCTATGACCACTTATCACCAACCTCCACCCTCCATGGAGGACAGTTGTATAGGAGCAGGGTGGTGATGGTTCAATGTGGTCTGTAGCTGTTGACTGGGTGTGTTGACCCTGGGATTTCCCAGGTGGTGCAGGTCAAGGTCAGCCCCCACCTATGTTTTGCCTGGGGCCACCCTGACTGAGCTATAAAGCAATCAAGATGGCTGCTACTTGTGGTGGACATGGAGATTCTCAGGTGAACCCACACTGTGAATCTAGGCTGGCTGCTGCTAGTGCTGGGTCTGGGGCTCACTGAGGCCAGCTGTTGCTTGTCTGAGAGGATTTGGAGGTTCTGAAGCATGAGCCAAGACCTCTTGGTCTTGGAAAGGCAGCTTGGGTGGGCCAGTAAGTTGGGAGGGGCAGAGTCTCTGGGGACCTCTGGGGAAGGTCAAATAGTGTCCACCAGGTTAAAGGAGTCTCAGATATGGCACTAGCTTGTGGGTTCTGTGTGGGAGGATTTAGAAAAGGGACAATGGCTTCTGCTTGCCTTGATGCCCAACACTTCACTTTTAAGAGGCTGCCCCTGTGCTGGAGCTCAGAGGGAATGAGTCTGAGTAGGTGAGTCTGTGTGTGGGTTGTTTAAGAGGAATGGCTTGGAGCTCTAGAAGTTTCTTCCACCCACTCAATACCCATTGGTTTTTGCAGCCAGAAGTTGTGGGGACTTATGTTCCTGGCTCTGGAACCCTAGACTGGGGGGGCTCTTGTGGGGTAGGGACCTCTTGCTCCCAAGATATTTCTCCTGAATTTTAATTTACCACACATGCGTGAAGGACCAGCCGATTCTGAGTCTGCACCCCTCCCCTCCACCAGTCTGGATGAATTTGGTTTCTTTAATTCCAAGTTATCAGACTTCCATTCAACTCAGTTCTGATGGGTGTGAATGATGGTTGTTCTACATTTTAGTTGTAATTTTGATGTGGTTGTGTGAAGAGGTAAGCCATGTGTCTATGCCACCATCTTGGCTGGAAGTCCCTTGCATTATAGATTTTACATATTGCTAGATTTGATTTGCTGCTATTTTTATATAGTGGTTTTTTTTTTGCAACTGTATAAATGAGGTTAATTCATGTGTGATTTTCTTCTTGTGTCTTTGTCATATTTAGGTATCAAAGTTATCCTAGTATTATGAAATATTTGGAAAGTTTATCTTTGTCTCTATTTTCTGAAAGAGTACATATAAGATTGGCATTATTTCTTCGCTAATTCACTAGTAAAATTGTCTGGGTCAGTAGTTGGTTTCTTTCAAGATCTTCTCCTTATCTCTGTGTTTCAGCGACTTCACTATGATGTGCCTAGGTGTGGTTTTTCTTGTATTTATTTTGTTTGTGCTTTACTGAGCTACTTAGGAAAATCATTGACTATTATTTCTTCAGATCTTTTATCAACCCAATTCCATCTCTTCTCCTCTAGAAACTCCAATTGCATATATGTTAGACTGCATATATGTTAAACTTTTTTTAAAGGTTTAAAAACCAAGACTATATAAACGTGGAATACCTTTCAGTGTTTGCCTGCTTTACATTGCTGTCCAATGTTTTCTAGTAATTCATTTGTTTACTTTTGTCCATAGTTTGAAATCATTATCTGTAGGTGGGCTAGTATGGTATAATCTACTCCATTATTATTGGAAGTGGAACTCCTTCTTGTATTCATAAGCTTAAATTAATTTGCTCATCATCCACCTTGTCACCAGATTTAAAGACCCTAGTGTTCCCAACCTAAAGTAACTGGTCACTAAATCATAATAATCCTATCCAGGCATGCTTCCTGAATCTGTTGACATCTAACCTCCTTAGACCTACTGCTTTATATTAGGTTCTCATTTAGCTAGTCCTACATGCCTCAGTCACTTCCCATATTGCTTGAAGTATCTTCCTAAAAAACTTTCTTTATCATGTTGCTCATTTGTTGCAAGGCCTTGCTAAGCTTCTGCAGGTTTAAATCCTTTTGGTTTGGTCTATAAAATCACTCATAATCCAATCTATGTCCTACTATTGCTCCACATAGAACCTGTGCTCCTGATATATTAACCTTTTCTCTGTTCTTTGGACATATCATAACTTTCCATATTTTTGTATTTTGTACTTTGTATCCTGCCTTCTTGGGCCATTTATTTGTATTTATCTTTTCTAGATTTAGTCTTAAAATTTGATTCAAATACCACCTCTTCTGGAAAGTCTTTCCTGCATAGGTTACTCCTGTCCTCAACCCTCTTTTCTACATTTCGATAGCACTTACAAATTTGGGTGTTGAGTTAATTGGTCTGTCTATCTATCATCTACATAATCTCCTGTTTCCCTAAGTAAATTCTAATCTTCTTGGTCAAGGTGCTGTGTCTTTCAAATATGGTTTATTATTTTCTATAACATCTAGCTAGCATTCTTTACCCTGTGATGACATTACAAAGAATATATCTGAGCAATGCTACACAAAGTAATGATTTTACATATGAAAATTAAAGGCCACAGACCCAAAAGAAGAAACCAATCAGCCAGTTCATACATCATTCTATTATTTATTGTTTTTTTTTTTAGGAACATATGCACCCCCAGCAAGCATCCCTACAGGGTTCTGCAGAAATGGTGGAACCTGGGCAAATGGCAGATGCATTTGTCCAGAAGAATGGAAAGGATTGAGGTGTACAATTGGTAAGTTTCTTGGGATAATACTAGAGCTTGAGGTTTAGGTGACCCTTCTGTTAACAAGGACAGCAAAAAATCTTCTTGAAGTTTCTATTAATAATTATAGTAACAATGGGTATAATAATGATGGCTTTTGTATTTATTAGCTCAATAGCTGAGTTTTGGTGCTATTTACCTGCATGTTGAATACACTTGGTCTCTTCTCCAGCTATCAAGTTTCTCTGTAAACTTGCTGTTGCTTTCCCTTCTATGTGCAGTGTCTAACACAGAGTAATTGGTGATATGGTTTTCTTAGGTCTTTTCAACTTGTGATAAGCTGTATCACACCATTCCAATTCTAACACATTTATTATCTATCACAGTTCTAATACATTTAACTTTTCTGAAATCAAGATGCATTATTCTATTTAAGTATGTGCTTAGATGAAGTTTTTGTCTTTTCTTTCTCTTGAAGAGAAGTTATTAATTTAATGATTTGCATTGATTAATGGTATCTCAGAATCAAAGTTCAAAGTCACTTGTTGATCCACAGAATGCTTCTTAATGCTATACACACTTCATGCTGCTTATTTAGGATCCAGAGTTCCAGAAGCACACTGCTACCATCCCCTACATTCCTACCAGCTAGCATATTCCACATGCCCAAGACCTTGGCCTTTTTGCTTTGACTCACCTCCTCATGTTGCTCTTTGTCACCACAGGCTCTAGGTTTTCAATATTTCAACTTATTTGTCACACTATTCTTGATTATGTGTTAGTGATCACATCCCACCTCTACCAAATGCTGTACATTTTAAAAATATTTTATTTATTTATTTTTAGAGAGAGGGGTAGGGAAGGAGAAAGTGAGGGAGAGAAACATTGATGTGAGAAAGAAACATTGATCAGTTGCCCCTTGTTTGTGCTTCAGTTGGGGACCAAACCTGCAACTCAGGCATGTGCCCTGGCTGGAATCGAACCTGAGACCTTGTGCTTTGCAGAAGGACACCCAATCAACTGAGTCACACTGGTCAGGGCTATATTATGCACATTTAAACTGGAACCTGTTATCTAACATACTAGTTATTCCAATGGTAGTAACTTAACTACATAAGAAAGTAGGAAGTTCCTGGGGGGGCCAATGAGTCCTACAAGCTTTCTATTACCCTTCCAATTATACTGGATAGGTTTTGAACTTTGACTTTTATCTGGTTTGAAATTTAAAAAAGAAAAGTGTAATTTAAAATGATTTTTTTCTTTTTATTGTAGCTAATTTTTGTGAAAACAGTACTTGTGACAGTTTTACTTTTGGCCGAATTCCAGTGGGAAGTTATGGCTCTTCCTTTGAAACATGTGAAAAGGACACTCTAAATGGTATGTGCTTTTCTAAACCTCACCCCTGTTTAAGTGGATAAATCACTATACTGGGTCACTTATATCATCCCCTCAACTAGTATTAGGTCCCTGGAAGAGGCATCAACAAAGGATTTGTAGAAGAGTTTGGCTCCCTTTTATGGTGCCAATGTTCAAAATTTAGGGTGTTACCTCACATAATTCTAAATTTCCTGAAAACCTTAATATGGATCAGTTGTAAATTCCTTTTGTTACTCCTTCAACTGGCTATTTTTTCCCCTCCAATCTACTTTCTAGAGTTTGATCAGGTTAATGTCTACTTTTTAAGTTATATAGTTTCTCTTAATTTAAAAAATTAGCTACACTATTGATTTACACCATATCTATTTTCAGACTTCATCTTTCTAGGTAGAGATGTACAGTTAAGTTTGTCCATAGCTGGGAGTCCTTCATCTCCTTGGTCATTTTAGTTATTTATCCATCTTGGAACATTCTCTGGCTTCATCATACATTTCTTGAGGCATGATAACCTTGTTTGCATTGAAGTATTCCAAAAATAAAGGAATAAATAATATTTCTAATATGCTCCCTAATGATATCCAGGATTTTGAAGACTTACTTGATTTCAATGGCACATGGGGTAATATCTTTTGAGAGTAGCCCACAGAAATTCATAGATTCCTTTCCCGACAGCTTAGAGCCCAGTAAGCCAGTGATCTTCCCTTTATGTTTCACCTGTCCTTTGTTTGCATCGACTCACATCTCACCAGTCCTCCCACCTCTCACATCTTCCTGCAGGTAGATCCATTTTTTATCATCCATTTTTTTTTCCAGAACTGGATACCTCAATAACACAGCCAATTCTAGGTCACTTGTGAAAATTTTTGATAGAACTTTTGTCAGTAATGACCATGGGCAAAATTTCACATTTTATTTTCATACTTATTTTCATGTATGCTAAGGGCTCTCTGCAGCACTAAGTAAATTTCATGTACTGTCCTTTCCTATGTGTTTTTTTACCTTATTACTTCTAAGAAATTATGTAGATTGACATCCTATTTGCAGAATTCAAATTGCCTCTGCCCACACATACTGGGTGAGGCAAAAGTACACTTACAGTTGTGAGTACATGAAACACAGGGTTTATTCTTGTATTATTATTTATTAATTATTGTATTATTTTTCATATAAACAACTGTAAACCTACTTTTGCCCCACCCTGTATATTATTGTTACTCAAGCATTCATGATACTACTCTTCCCATAGGAACTGTATTTTCAGCCTCTTGGTTGAAAGCTCAGAAGCAAAAGGGGACTTCAATTATATTAATACTTCTTATATTATATACAGGGGAGTCAAACTCATTTTCATGGGGGGCCACATTAGCCTTGCAGTTGCCTTCCAAGGGTTGAATGTAATTTTAGGACTGTATAAATGTAACTACTTCTTAACTAGGGGCAAGGAGCTTGGTGTTGCTGCCCAGTAGAAACAAGGTGCCGGGCTGGATAAAACAAATTGGAGGGCTGGATTTGGCCTGTGGGCCTTGTGTTTGCCACCTGTGCTGTATGATATGTCCATGGATACTTATTATCCTAATTTTATGTGTTTTTATGCCTAAGCATTTCCTAATAATTTATAAAACAGATAACTGTGCTATTAATGAGGAAGAGTAAAAATTTTAGTAATATGCCCATCAAAGGATAAAACACTTCATTGATATATATTATGTTTTGGGGACAGGAAAATCAGTATCTTTCAATTGGTTATTTATTTTCTTTCCTGAGCATATATTGTGAAATGTTATTATACACAACTTTGAATTTCAAATTTAGCCTATAATTTTATTTTTCAAAAGCTTTATTTATTTTTAGAGAGGGGGCATGAGGGAGAAAGGGAGAAAAGCATTGATGTGTGAGAGAAACATTGATAGGTTGCCTGTCGCATACCACCTCCTGGAGACCTGGCCTGCAACCCAGGCATGTGCCCTGACTGGGAATCCAACCAGCTAGTTTGGTTCACAGGCTGGGACTCAATCAGCTGAGTCATACCAGCTAGGGCAGGGCCTATAATTTTAAAACTATGAATTCTAGCCCTGGCTGGTGTGGCTCAGTAGATTGAGCACCTGCCTGCAGACCAAAGGGCTGCTGGTTTGATTCCTAGTCAGGGCACATGCCTGGGTTTCAGGCCAGGTCCCAGCAGGGGATGCATGAAAGACAATCACACATTTATGTGTCTCTCCTTCTCTTTCTCCCTCCCTCCCCCTCTCTAAAAATAAATAAATAAAATCTTTTAAAAAAACTATGAATTCCAGCTATTGGCAAATTTACTTTTAGTTTTATATTGAGTTACTTCTAATCATTCAATTTTGTATAGCAAATGAGCAAAACACTTAATGATTTTGAGTGGATAGATAATGGAGAAAAAGATGCATTGGAAATACAGCTGTTTACAAAATAAAATTCTTTTTTTAAAGTATATTTTATTGATTATGCTATTACAATTGTCCCAGTTTTTCTCCGCTTTATTCCCCTCTGCCCTGCACTCCCTGCTCCCATCAGCATTTCACACTCCCCTTAGTTCATGCTCATGTGTCATACGTATAAGTTTTTTGGCTTTTCCATTTCCCATACTATTCTTAACCTCCCCCTGTCTATTTTCTACCTACCATTTATGCTTCTTATTCCCTTTTCCCCCATCCTCCCCTCTCCCCTTCCCCTTTGATAATTCTCCATGTGATCTTCATTTCTGTGGTTCTGTTCCTGTTCTAGCTGTTTGCTTTTTTTTTATGTTCAGTTGTTGATAGTTGTGTTTGTTGTCATTTTACTGTTCACATTTTTTATCTTTTTTTCTTAGATAAGCCCCTTTAACATTTCATGTAATAAGGGCTGGGTTATGATCAACTCCTTTAACTTGACTTTATCTTGGAAACACTTTATCTGCCCTTCCATTCTAAATGATAGCTTTGCTGGATAGAGTAATGTTGGATGTATGTCCTTGCCTTTCATGACTTTGAATACTTCTTCCCGGCCCTTCTTGCCTGCAAAGTTTCTTTTGAGAAATCAGCTGATAGTCTTATGGGAATTCCTTTGTAGGTATTCCTTTGTAGGTAACTGTCTCCTTATCTTTTGCTGCTTCTAGAATTCTCTCCTCTTTAATCTTAGGTAATGTAATTATGATGTGACTTGATGTGTGCTTCCCTGGGTCCAACTTCTTTGGGACTCTCTGAGCTTCCTGGACTTTCTGGAAGTCTATTTCCTTTGCCAGATTGGGGAAGTTCTCCTTCATTATGTTTTCAAATAAGTTTTCAATTTCTTGCTCTTCCTCTTCCCCTTCTGACACCCCTATGATTTGGATGTTGGATGTTGGAATGTTTAAAGTTGTCCCAGAGGTTCCTAAGCTTTTCCTTGTTTTTTTTTTTTTTTTTTAATTCTTGTTTCTTCATTCTGTTCTGATTGAATGTTTATTTCTCCCTTCTGGTACAAATTGTTGATCTGAGTCCCAGTTTCCTTCCCTTCACTGCTGGTTCCCTGTATATTTTTCTTTATTTCATTTTATACAACCTTCACTCCTTCCTCTATTTTGTGATCATACTCAACCATTTCTGTGAGTATCTGATTACCAATGTTTTGAACTTTGCATCTAATAGGTTGGCTATCTCTTTGTCACTTAGTTGTTTTCCTGGAGTTTTGATCTGTGATTTCATTTGGGCCATGTTTTTTGTCTTGGTGCACCTGTTATGTTATAAGGGGCAGAGTCTTAGGTATTTGCCAGGGTGGGGCAACCCAGGTTGCTACATTGTGGCACTGTATGTGGGGGAGGAGTCAGAGAGGGACCAGTGCCACTTGCACAGCTCTTATCTGGCTTTCAATCACTTCCCCTGTTACCCACAAGCAAATTGGGCCCTTGTGGTGCTGATTCCTGGGTGGGCAGGTTTCTTGTGTATGTTCTAGGGCCGAGTGGGTTTCTTCAATGAACTCTCTTGTGAGTCTGGGAGTTTCTCCTGCCACTGCAACCCCCATAGATTTTTATAGACAGAGGTTTTGAGGCTTTCTTTCCCTGGGCAGGAACCCTGGGTTTCTCAGTCTGTCTTGCTCCCCAGTTGTTCCTCCCAGTTTATCCACATGCAAATGTGGGACCTCAAGCCACCTTGCCCACCCAGTCATCCAGCTGCTGCCTTGCCTTGGGTCCTGCCCACCTCAGTTGCTTATCTCTGCCCCTCCTACCAGTCTGGATGAATATTTCTTCTCTAATTCCTTGGTTGTTGAGCTTCCATACAGTTTGATTTTCTGTCAGTTTTGGTTGTTTTTTGTTTTTAAATTTGTTGTTGTCTTTCTTTTGGTTGTGCAAGGAGGCAAAGTATATTTATCTATGCCTTCCTCTTGGCTGGATAAAAAATAATATTCTATGTTTGAAATTTTTAATATATCACAGTGGAGAGGTGGAGCCCTCATATGAGTTAAGAGTGGCCTTAACCTCCTACTTTAATCATTGTAGAATAAATCTCTAATTTCAGTGTTTCTAGTAGTTTCCCAAGAAGCAGCTGCCCAAAGCTGGTCCTAAGAAAAGTTTGATGTTCTGATCAGCTATCCCTTTAATGACACTCGAGGTGATTTTATCTATTAACAGCCTCTTAAGTGTTAGCCATAGAAGAACACTAAGTTAAGGATGCTCAGATTATAATCCTAGGAAATAAATCCAATGATTCAGCAAGTAGTTATTGAGAACCAACCAAGTATCTAATAGTTGCTGTAATACAACAGAACTCTTTGCCTTTCAGGTATTATTCAGATTGGGTAAAAGGGGGAAAGATCAACTTATTATTTAGTATCTAGTGGGGATGTTTCTGTTCTCTCAGCCTTGTGTTTCCTCATCACTTTCAATTTAAAACCCTGTCCCTTGTTGTTGGAAGGCAAATCTTCCTTGCAGACTTCAAAGGAAAGAAATAATAGTCAACAGGTCTTTTGAATCCCAGATTTAAAAATCAAGACAAGTAGTAACTGCCTAAAATATTCTTGTAGTAACTGTCCAATTCACTTTCCCACTGCTGTGTATCAAACCACCCCAAACTTAACAGCTTAAAACAATAATGACTTAGATTCTCAGATTTTTCAGTTTTGTGGTTTGGCTGTGGCAACTGGACGTGGCAGCAGGAAGGTCTAAGATGACCTCATTCACATGGGTCATCTGTGCTGGCTGTTAGCTGGGTGGTGGGCGGGGAGGAGGGGCGCAGTGGGGGGCTCAGTTCTCCTCTGTATGGCCGCTCATCCCCCATTGTATTAGACCCACTTCCGTATATGACAGTCTCAGGATAGTATTCCTATAGAGCGAAGGTCAAAACTTCAAGGCTTCTCAAGGCCTAAGTTCTACAACTCATACAATGTCATTTTTTCCACATTCGACTTGTTAAAGAAAGTTCTAGGGTCAGCCTAGATTCAGGAAATGGAGGAACTGACTCCACCTGTGGATGGAAGAAGTAGCAAAATCACACTTGAAGGGGCATGTAGACAGGAGCAGGCAGGTGCTGTGGCCATCTTTGCAAACACTCACTGTTTTGTTTTTTTTTTAATTAAAGCGGGCCATCCAAGAGCAACCCGGATGTGCAGTCTTACTGAAGATGGAGAAATAAAATTAAAAAAACCAGAAATAGGAAATTGCAATTTAAATCTGGAAATTCTGGAAAAGCAGGTATGCCCTATGGCCCATGTGATGGGCAGCTGGAAAAAGCCTGATGGTCAAGTTAATGCTTTTTAAAACTCTCAAATTAGAAATAACAAAAACTAGTAATTAAAACTGTTTTTATTTTAAAGTTGGCATCTGTTTGTGAAAATGGATAGTGGAACATGTTGGGTTGGCAAATTTCAGCAAATGACAATCTAGAGCACATTCTAAATGGTGTCACTTTTTAAACCAGTGAAGTTTTTACCAAAAACAGATCCCTGACATTTCAGACCAAAAGGAAGGTATTTTAATGATGTACTTGATCAGAACAAAGAGAAAAAACTATCACCAAAGACTTTTTCAGACAGGAAATTTCAGAACATGATGGTCATCTCAGGGCTATATTCATGAGCAGGTGAAATAGGAAGTACATCTGAGTAAGTATTTTTTTCATGCAGATAAAAACTTTCACTAAGGATATACCCAAATGCATATACCTGGGATTGCTAACACCTGGGCCAAACAAGGGGCAGAAGAGGAAACATGTCCTCACGTGGTTCTTCCAGGTGCTAGGCATGTTACATATCTCATTTAGTTTTTATAGAACCTCTGTGAGTTTGATGTTATTCCCATATTATAGGTAATTATAGCTAATAACACATTAATTATTGAGCACTGACTATGCGCTAAAGGCTGTGCTGAACATTTTACATATAGTATTTTACCATATTTAATTCCTGTAACACCTCTACAGGTAAGTGTTAATATATTCTTTTTGTAGAAGAGGAAACTGTGGCTCTGAAAGGTGTGGTGCTTTGACTGGTGAATCACAGACAAAAATGATGGGGCTGCTCTTGACTTTAAAGTCCACACTGTCCCAGTGGGTGGAGGTGGAAGAAGGTGTAGGGGGGGATAAATGGTAATGAAAAATACAATAAAAAACAATGTAAAAAGTAAAGTCCACACTGTACCACACTGGCTCCCTAATTATAGATGAGCAGGGGTGGGAGTGGGATTGGGGATGGTGGTTGAGTGTAGAGGTGGCTGCCAGTGACGTAGGCTGTGCCCTTCACACAGGTTGTGGGAAAGACTTCATGGTCTAGAATCTGGCAGGCCAGTGTTTGACTATTAGCTCTGCCATTTCCAAAGTGCGTGAACTCTGAGTGTATTCCTTACCCACTCCAAGGCTTTAATGAGGGATGAGAGCAATCAACTCACAATGCTGTTTTGTGTATTAAATGTGATAACACTTGCAAAACATTTAGCAAAGTGCCTAGCATGCAGCAGAAATCTGGCTATTGAATGGGAGCATTGTTTCTGTCTACTGATTGGGTATTGCTTCCAACTCTTTTCCAAGCTTGAACAGCCTGTGACCCTGGTTTGATTTTTGAAATGATGCTGCCATCTAATGAAAAAATAAGTGTGACACACACACACACACACACACACACACACACAATTGACCCCCCCAGCTCCACTAATGACAACATGGAGTAACATGTTGTACATGCACAAGAGAATGCAGGGGCCAGCTGGTACACGAAGAGGTTGTCTAGGTTGGTGCTGCCCAAACTATTCATGCTAAAAAGCTAGTTTTTAGGCTTTTCAGCTGAAAAACTCACAAAAGGCTTCAGCTGAGGTAAAACTCACAATCTTTTTTAAACAGGGAGGGGAAGAAGGAAAGAAAGTCATCTCAAGCTTTATTCCTTATTCCAGGATATGGACTTGGGCATGGTTTATGTTGCTTCAGACCATTTTGCAGAGCACTGTTTCTGTGAGACTCTCAAAGAACTGAAAAAGGTTCCTTGTCCAAATATTCTCTTTCAGGATAGTCACGGTGATCATTATCATGTGAAATTTGGAAAGCCTGTAACAAATAAATCTATTTCATCTTATTAATACATTTACCTTTCACAGATCAATAATCTTATAAAATACAATAAAAACAAATAACTTGGAAAATGAAATTAAGAAACATATATAATACAATCTATTTTAAAAATTATTATATGCAACAGCACAGAATTGTGATATAAGTTTGCAATTGTTGTCTAATTTATAGTCGGAAAGAAACAAACTTCAAAAACTGAGTGGATGTGATGTTCAGGAGATTGAAGCTCAACTGAATTTCAGCTTACTCATTGGTAGCTGCTTGGAGAGTGTTTATAGATGTAGTGTATAAAACTGGTTTTTCTTTACAGGTAAATAGTGCCACAACAAATATTTCAACAATTTCTAAGGAAGCCCAGATTTTAACAGCTAATGTGGGTATGTTAACTCCTGGGAACATCACTTCTGCTACAAAAGTGGTTGGACAGATCTTCAACACATCCAGAGAGGCTTCAGCTGAGGTAAAACTCACAATCTTTTTTAAACAGGGAGGGGAAGAAGGAAAGAAAGTCATCTCAAGCTTTATTCCTTTTTCCAGGATATAGACTTGGACATCGTTTATGTTGCTTCAGACCATTTTGCAGAGCACTGTTTCTGTGAGACTCTCAAAGAACTGAAAAAGGCTCCTTATCCAAATATTCTCTTTCAGGATAGTCACGGTGATCATTATCATGTGAAATTTGGAAAGCCTGTAACAAATAAATCTATTTCATCTTATTAATATGTTTATCAACTACATTTGACCTCAGCATCCCTGTTCAATTCCAAGTAACTGGTGTTCTAAGGAACTCACTTTGGAACATGATGTTTTAAACTGTGATTTCTTTCTGCTCAGCATATTTGCATTTTAGTTTTGGCTTTCTAAGAAACTTAAAGCTAGTTTACATTTCTGATATTATAAACTGCTAAACTCTGTTACTTGAAAACAAGAACTGTAGTGAACATTTACCAATTGGCACAGCTTGGGTACTGGTCAAACAGTGTTTACCAGTTGAATACCAGCATGGCCTGAAAAATATGTACTCCTTTCTTCTATTCCCTATAAATGTTTTATTTCAAAACAATTATTTTATGTTAACTTAGCACCTTTGGAAATTAAGTAGGATTGAAATCATAAGTTAATAAAAATGGAATTGAAAGAGAAAAACAATGACCACCAAATGTAGAATTTATGGAAGGATTAGCCAGTAAAGACAACAGGGTATTAATAACTCAAAAGAGGGCAGTTAAACAATCAGTGAATGTCAAGAGATCCTTTCCAATGTAATCCTGACTTTTGTTCTTAAATCCTCACCAGAAGATATATATTTTTATTTATTTTAGAGAGAGTAAGAGAAGGAGAGAGGGAAGGAGAGGGAGAGGGAGGGAGAGGGATGGGGAGAGAGAGACAGAGAGAGAGAGAGATTGATTGGTTGCCTCCTGTGCATGCCCCAACCTGGATCGAATTTGCAACCCGGGCATATGCCCTGACTGTGCATTGAACCTGCAGCCTTTTGGTGTACCATGCTCCATCCAACTGAGCCACTGGGCTAGAGCCTCCTGATTTTTTAATTTTAAGAAAACTAGAAATAATTTTGCTAAGTCTAATAGTTATACTAAGTGTAACTAATAAGTTATATTAACTATTGTGAGATGTAATGTTCTTACATTCAGAGTCCTGCTTTCTTTGTATTTTGTTTCTGCTTTTATGTTCAAGCATCTGGTTTTATGTTCTTGGGCATGGTGCGGAAGGTCTGTGGAAGACCTTGCTATAAGTTCAAATTCAGAGACTTAAGCCTCCTGACTGCCTCAATTTATATTTTTACTGTGCCTTATCTTTATTCTCTGCCATCTTATGTAGATTGAAAACTAAACCTTTAGTTCCATTTGATACCATAATAATTCATGGTAATGATGGCCACGATAGTGCATGATATATGTCCTCTATGACGACTGGTATCTTCTTGGCAGGCAAAAGTAATTGCTGTATCAACAGTGAGTCAACTTCTAGCTGCTAGTGAAGATGTTTTTCAAGAAGCTGCTTCTGAGGATGACAACACCTTTGCAACGTAAGCACACTTCCAGTTTGGAAAGAAAACCTGACAAAGTGCTGTTTACTTTCCCAGGTTAAAGCATTAATAGAGTTGTCTTTATTTCTCTCATGGTTGCACTAACTGGCCAATGTCTCTGGAATGCAGACTAAAACCTTGGCTTTCTACCTGATCTTCAGTGACTAGATGGAGTGGTGTATATTAACTCCTGGTTCCAGGTGTGGCCATGGATGGAGAGTACTTCGGATGATTTAGATTCACACTTGTTGTCATAGACCTAGTTTGGTATGTCAAAGAGGCAGCTTGGATGTGCTGTAGGAGCTCTTCAAACTCTTTGCTCAACTTACAGAGCTGCAAATAACAGCATAACTTTCCCAGACACATTGGTAGCCTCCCACCCACAGCTTGGTTCTCCCTAAAATCCTGTTGTATTTTGATTAAGCTCTCCCATGGCTACAATGAACCAAAAAAAAAAGGATCCAACTCTATGTGTTTTCTCTCTTCTTGACTCTTACGTTCTGTATTTCTTTTGGTTGTATATTTATACTAAAACTCATGCGCTTTATTTGTAGAGGTCTCCCTCTAGGGTTCCCCATGTTTTTAAAAATCTTGTATACAGTTTTCTTAACTCTTTTAAAATATAAGTAAATATGCATGCTCATTATAGAAAAATAAAAAAAATATAAGAAAATATTAAAAATCACTGTACTTTTGTTAACTTGTTGGTATGTATTGTGGATTTTTTCTGTGTGTGTGTGTGTGAATTGTATTATATAATCTATTGATTTATAACTTTCTTTTGTCACTGAATAGTACCTTATAACCATTTTTTATACAAATACCTATACTTCTACATCACAAATTTTAGATGACTACATAATGTGAATGAACTTTTATTTAAGCAATTTGCTGCCACTGGACATTTAGATTGCTTTAAGTCTTTTACTATTGTGAGTGATCAACATTCTTGTACATAATTTTTGTTTGCATAACCCATTATTTCCTTAGGAGAAATTCCTATAAGTAATTCTTAGTTTTCTAATGATTATAACCAGTACCTAGTTAGTGTCGAGCCTTTAAATTAGAAAAAGCACAAAAGCATGAAACAGAACATTCAAATGATTGTGATCCTGAGAGAGGATGGTCGATGTTGTGTGAACAATTTAACTGGTATGTTTTATGACTTCAGATTTTAATAGGAGTCTGGGCCCTTCTCATGGGGAATGTGGATGCTGCCATTTTCCTTGAAGTCGGAGAAGGAAGTGGCCAGTGGGGTCCAGAGTCTATGTTCAGTGAACGTGGAGACTGAGAGCCAGAGTAGGATCTCTTCAGAGCTGAAGGCTCTGTGTTTTCAGTCCTGCTAGAGGGGAAGGAGTGAAGTAGATGTTTTTGGTGAGAAAGCTGAGCAAAGAGAAGAAGGACTTGCTGAGAAAGTCGCAGATCATTGTGCAGATGAGGAAGCTGTGTGAGTTGTACTGGCTTATGACACAGAAAAAAAAATTTGTGTGACTTATGTGTAATATCCAAGTGGCTTTATAGGAGATGGTTAGGGGATAAATAAAAATTTTAAATATAAAACACACTGAAATATGAAATGGTATAACCACACTCAATCCCTCCTTCCACTCTGAATTTCTAGTTTACTTATTTTTCTAATCCTGGTCTATCCAGTATACCTTCTCCATATGATGTTTTACCTAATTCCTATGGGTTCAGGCCCTTTATTTCACCTCAGCCTCCAGTCCCAAGGTCAGGCCACCAATCCCTTAGCTCTCTGAAGAGTATTCTTGATGAGTTGCCCCAGGAAGCTAATTGCTGCCTGGAGCAACTCTTCCTTTCCAAACTCCATCCCTTGAGTCTCCTCACAGGCACCAGGCCTTAGCCTTCCGTCTCACATTGTCTTATTCCTTCTTTCACTCATAGTTTTTTTCTTTGTCTCTTTAAGTCACTGAACTCCCCTTCTACACTTAGTGAGAGAAGTGGAGTGGTAAGAATAAAAGAGGAGAGTGACAAGGAAGAAAGACTTCATTCCAGCTTTGCCATCTCAGGTTGTCATAGTAAACTTCTCTAGTGTCCATTTGTCCACTCTCTTTTTCTAACTTGGTAGGAAGCAGAATGTTCAAGTGTGTGGAGCTCTGCAGCCACTGGCAGAGTCTCTGCTGGTAAGGGCTTCCCACTACACTTAGTGAATTGAAGATCTCATTTCTCCAGTTTGAACATTTGCTATGAAGACTCATCCATAACCTTAAAACCTTGCTGACACATTCAGGCTCATAATTGTCCTTGTTTACTTAGCTTTGAGAATGCAAAACTGTTTCCCTAATACTGACACCTTAAACATTTACATTTCACACTTCTGTTCCAGCTTGCCTTCTTTGGCTACAAGATACTCATTTAAATGAACTAAACAGAGGTTCATTATTAAGAGACATGAGGAATCTCATGGGAACCTAAGGACAGGATTAAAATATAGCCCTGGAGTCGAGGAACAGCAAGGCATCCAAGGAAGCTTTGCAGGTCTCAGTAGAGGAGTTTGTGGGTCTTCCCTCTGGGGTGATATAATGGTTGTTGCCATAGCCTTTGGAGTCAGACAGTCTTGGGTTCATATCTTAGAATTGTTATTTATTGATTTTGGCCAAATTACTTCGTATCTCTTTGAAGAGCCTCAGATTCTTCAGTGTGATATGGGACTAACTTTATATCTCACTTCAGTAGGGGTCTTGTGAGGCTCAGATGAGGTAATATGTGTAAATCACTAGTATCATAACTGACATATGTATAAGCCTTTTTTTAAAAAGGTTAGCTGTGTCTTTATAATTAACATGAGTAAATAAACATCTTTACTTCCAGTTTCTATTTTCTAATAATTCAACCCTGTTCATGATGTTGGGGAATAGAAATAAAAGAAAATCTTTTCTCAGCTCAGAAATACTCTCTACAGAGGTAGTAGAGAAAGAAATCCATTTTATTATTGAGTAAGCATCAAACCAGGGTGTGACATGCATCACAGGAAAACCTCTAAGAGATTGCAAAACATAAAGGAATCTTGCCATTTTATATAGACAAAAAATTAAGCCTCTTATTTTTTTTAACTCTTAACTGAGGATATGTTTTTTATTGATGAGAGAGAGAGAGGGAGAAGGAGAGAAAGAGAGAAAGAAAGAGAAAAAGAAAGAGAGAGGAAGGAAGGAAGGAAAGAAGGAAGGGAAGGAGGGAAGGAAGATATGAGGGATAAACATCATTGGTTGCCTCCTGTAGGAACCTCAACTGGGGATCCAACTGGCAACTCAGGTATGTGCCCTGATCAGGAATCACACCTGCAACCTTTTGGTGTAGGGGGTAATGCTCCAACCAACTGAACACCTAGCCAGGGCATACTCTTATTTTTAATTTGTATTTGTCCTTACAAATGATATAATGATCTCTCTGGTCCCCTCTAAACCATGGCTTCCTGATATAACTGCTACACTAAATGGAAAATTCCTCAGTGAAAGAATCTGATTGCTTTTGCTAGTCCATTATATCAAGCTGATGGACAGCCTCCAGACTGGGTATTCAGAGGCAGGCACCCATCTGTAATTTAATTGGTTATGGCCAGAGGAGAAAAGGATCATATGAGAAAAAATGGCTTAGAAGTGGCTGTGGCTAGAGCTACACTTTGAAAGTGGTTGTGAACATGACAAGCATTTAGTACATTTATGTACTTATAAATGTATTATATATTTAGTACATCTTTCCCTTTGTCATTCAAATGACTAAGGGAGCTCCTCTTAGTACCCCTAGTGTTTTGGGGATACTAACCTCTTAGCAGGTACTCAAGAGATATTGTTAAGTGAATGCATGAATTATGTTTTTAGAAGATTGGAGTCTTGTTAGGTTGAAAGTAACTCTGGAGTAAGATTTTTAATTTATTAAATGGGAAGTAGTGTGAATTGTTGAAAATTACAGAAAATGGCATTATGAAAGGAAAACCTTTGACACGAAAAAGCCAACTTGAATGTTTCCATATGAATGATCATCACATCTTCTTTATAAAGCAATTTTTATTTAAAAAATTCTCTTTTTTGATTTCTCTTGGGGAAGGGAAAAGATATTTTAGTGGTAGATGTAAAGATTTAGAATTTTGAACAATTACATCTTAATGAAATCCTTTTATTTCTGGGAAAACTAAATTGAACTGGTTATCTTAGATATAGAGATTTTTGCTTGGTGAAGTACAGAAATGGTGCAAATATTTCTCATAGGAAATATGAAGAAAGGTCCTAGGGCTTCTCTTTGGAGAACACCAAACACAGGTTCCCTCCACTCCCTCCCACCTTCCATTGAACCTCTCTTAGAACTTACCCAAAATAAAAAAGGAACATTGTGAAAACCTGCACTATTTGGTTGATAGCTGAGGTAATGAATTCAGAGCTCTGTTCTTCCCTAGTTCCATATGAACTGTCAGTTTGGGAACGAACTTACAAGAGATACTTTAGATCCCAAAGGGTTTAGGTGAGAGGAGGGAGTTGAAAAGTGGAAATTGATTATCTCCACTGGAGAAACAAGAATCTCCTGCCTGGCCAATGTTGGGTGTCAACACTATCCTTCTCTGTGAAGAGCAGCGTAGTAACGATTATTTCTATTGGGAAATCTATCATTCTTGAGTTCCAGCTTTCTGGCATCAGAAACAGAAGGTACGGAAGGTACCCATCAGTAGGAGACAGTCCACCAGAGCTTTTAAAAATGTATATATAACAAAGGAAGGTTTTGATAAAGAAGATCAATGGCTTTTAGGTGATTGTGTTAATGTGTTGAGATGAATTCTGTAGTCATGCCTTTCTATGGGGATGTGAGAAAGAACACACATCTGATTTTATGACGAATCTCTAGAATATCATATTGTTATGTTTTATTCTCTGCAGGCTTGTTCAGGAAATGGAAGCTTATTCCTTGTCTCTGGGCAATAATTCAGTGGTGAGCCCTAATGTAGCGCTGCAGGGTGTTGTTTTGTCTTCAGGAAACAGTACAGGGTCTACAGGTGTTCGCTTTACTGTGCTGAAAGGTAAGCCATTCATTTCATGTGCTCGTAATAGCAGAGAGCATTCTACTGCTGACCATAAATAATGTTCTATTCATGAAAATATAGACTCCTAACGTGTACTTTTTCCATCTTGTAGGATCTAGCAGTTCTCTTGTTTCTGGCTCCACACATGTTGATACAAATGTGAACAGCATTAGTACCGACGCAATGACCGAACTTCAGATCTGGCTCCAACCCTTGAAAAGTAGGTCTGAAATTTTTATATTAAAAAGTACACTCAAATTCATGGAATTGATAACTTAAAACCCACCGAGTACAAAAATATTTACTTAGTTTTACTTTGAATAATTTGCATTTGAGTATGTTTGAGCTCTGACAGATTATGGTAATCTCTACTATTCTAGGTCAAAGAGGTGATTTCTTTTCAAAAATCTTTTGGAGGATAGCAGAATGTAAATTCTCAGGCCATGGACACAAATCTGTTTTGTAATAAATACCTACCTAATGTAGATTCTTAAAAAAAACAAACAACATTTAAAAAATACTCAATCACAAGCCCTGTCCATGTTTACTAGTGTAATAGCCAAAATTTTATTCAATTAGAAATTTTAAAGCACCATTGTTAGAAAGGAAATTAAAGTGCAAATTATAAATTACTTAAAAACTAATGGCAATGGGAACACCACAAATGTAAACCTGTGGAATGTGGACAAAGAGGTATTTAAAAGAAAATGTATATCCTTGGTAAATTTATTAAAAAATAAAAGAAATTGTTAAAAAATAAACCAAGTATTCCACTTATGAAGCCTGTAAAGTAAGCTAGAAAGAAGGGATTGATAAATACAAGGGTAGAAATTAATAAAATAAAAATTAAATGCTAGACTTGGTCAGCAAAGTGAAAAGTTGATTCCATTAAAAGACAAATGAAATGCACAAACTTCTGAAAAATTTGATCAAGAAAAAAGAGTATAAAGAAACATGAAGGAGGTATATTTAGAAAGATGGAGACTGCTTAAAATTGTAAGATAGTGGTAAATACAATGTCTTTTAATAAATCTGAATATTTAGATGAAATGGTGGTTATCTAAGAAATGACCAAAATGCTATAGAAATGAGGAAAAAGGTGAGCAGGGACTTCCATTTTTTTTTCTTTTTTAAAAAATATATATTATTGATTATGCTATTGCAGTTGTCCCATTCCCCCCCCTTCACTCCCCTCCACCCTGCACATCCTCTCCCACCCACATTCCCCCTCTTTAGTTCATGTCCATGTGTCATAAGTTCTTCAGCTTCTACATTTCCCATACTATTCTTGCCCTACCCATGTCTATTTTCTACCTACCCTGTATATTACTTATTCTCTGTACCTTTTCCCTCTCTCTCCTCCTCCCACTCTCCTGTTACCAAGCCTCCATGTGATCTCCATTTCTGTGGTTCTGTTCCTGTTCTAGCTGTTTGCTTAGTTTGTTTTTGTTTTAGGTGTGGTTGTTAATAACTGTGAGTTTGCTGTCATTTTACTATACATGTTTTTTATCTTCTTTTTCTTAGATAAGTCCCTTTAACATTTCATAAAATAAGGGCTTGGTGATGATGAACTCCTTTAACTTGACCTTATCTGGGGAGTACTTTATCCACCCTTCCATTCTAAATGATAGCTTTGCTGGATAGAGTAATCTTGGATGTAGGTCCTTGCCTTTCATGACTTCAAATACTTTTTCCAGCTCCTTTTTGTCTGCAAGGTCTCTTTTGAGGAATCAGCTGACAGTCTGATGGGAACTCCTTTGTAGGTTACTGTCTCCTTATCTCTTGCTGCTTCTAGGATTCTCTCCTTTAGTTTTACCTTGGCTAATGTAATTATGATGTGCCATGGTGTGTTCCTTCTTGGGTCCAACTTCTTTGGGACTTTCTGAGCTTCCTGGACTTTTTGGAAGTCTCTTTCCTTTGCCAGCTTGGAAAAGTTCTCCTTTATTTTTGTTCAAATAACTTTTCCACTTGTTGGTCTTCCTCTTCTCCTTCTGGTACCCCTACAATTCAGATGTTGGAATATTTAAAGATGTCCTGGAGGTTCCTAAGCCTCTCCTCATTTTTTGAATTCTTATTTCTTCATTCTTTTCTGTTTGGTTGTTTCTTCCTTCCTTCTGGTCCACTCCATTGATTTGAGTCCCAGTTTTCTTCCCATCACTGTTGGTTCCCTGTGCATTTTCCTTTATTTCACTTAGCATAGCCTTCATTTTTGCATCTAATTTGTGACCAAATTCAACCAATTCTGTGAGCATCCTAATCACCAGTGCTTTGAACTGTGCATCTGATAGGTTGGCTACCTCTTTGTTGCTTAGTTGTATTTGCTGTGGAGCTTTGATCTGTTCTTCTGTTTGGGCCATTTTTTTTTGTCTTGTTGTGCCTCTTACATATGAGGGGGGAGCCTTAGGTGTTCACCAGGGTGGGGCAACCCAGTTGCTGGATTGTGATACTGTATGTAGGGGTGCAGTCTGAGAGGGAACAATGGTGCTTGCTCTGCTCTCTGTTGGATTTCAGTCCCTTCCACTGCTTTCCCCAAGCAAACTGGGCCTTTCTAGTGCTGGTTCCCCAGTGGGTGGGCTTGTGCACATTCTAGAACCCTGTGGGTCTTTCCAACACACTCTCCTGTGAGGCTAGGAGTCTCTCCCTGAGCCTCAACCTCCACAGGTTTTCTCAATCAGTGCTCTGAGTGCCTTGCTTCACAATCACCACCTTGCTGGGTCTGCTGGTTGCCACCCCATGCCCGGGGTCTGCCAGCCATCGCCAGTGCGCTCAGGGTCCACCCGCTGCAGTCTTGTGCACCCAGGATGCCTTACGCACCTGGTGTCACCGCTTTTTGTGCCATGACCCCTCTCTGGCCGGCTGCCCAACTTCACCCCACCTACCAGTCTGGAAGAATGTGTCTATTTGAACTCCTTGGTTGTCTGACTTCCATACAGTTCAATTTTCTGTGCGTTCTGGTTGTTATTTTGTTTCCAAATTGTTGTTGTCCTTATTTTGGTTGTGCGAGGAGGCACAGTGTGTCTACCTATGCCTCCATGTTGGCCAGAAGTCCCCAGACTTCCATTTTTTAATCAATATACTTCTATGGATTTGATATTCGCATCAAGCATGTCATTCTTTTATAAAAATAGAACATAAACAGAAGCCAAACTGCATTTTCAGGACTAACTTTTTTCTGGAGTGTCCAGAAGGAGCAATTCCAGTGTGCCGTGAGAAGTCCTAGAAACCAAAGTCTTCATTTCCGTGTCGGGGCTGGAGCAGCGAGGCTGGCTGCGGAGGACATGCGCAGGCTGTCCAGCCTTGCCTGCCAGTTTCTCAGATCACATGACCGAGTAGGCTAGTTTCGCGGCCATTCTTAGTTTTCCGTGTATCACTTGTAAAAGGTAGCACAGTTTAGGAAATTAATTCATTTCAAATGTGTACCTGTTATTGGTGCTTCTGTTGTTTTCAACATGGCCAACAGCTGTATGGGGTGTGAGGAGGCCAGCCTCGCAGCAAAGCCCTTGGCTGCGGCCATGCCCTGCTGGGATCCCTGAGGCACAGCTGACCACTTTTTCCAGGGTCCTGAAGAAATGTGTCACAATAGTCTTCCAGCCCTGGGAAAGCCTGTAATTGTCACGAAATAGCAGAAATGAATAGTTCAAGAGATGATGGAAAGAAGCTGGCTCCATTCAAAGTGTCCCTGGTATGAACAACTTGAACTCCTGGCCCTGTGACTTAATAGACTGGTCCCTGCTCAGTTCCTCTGAACCGGAGACAAACCTCACAGAACACTTCCCCAGACACAGCTGTCCTGACATTTGTCCTTTGCTCTTTCTTCTCCCATGTCTTATTAGTGGGGGAAGCAAATAGGCTTCACCTACCTGCAGTGATGTTCACTCTGTCTTGCTGTGTAGAAAGCTAGATGCATACTTCATAAATGAAATCTTTGTAATATGTCCTTGAGGTGGCTTAGGTGGGAATTATTGTTCTCATTTAGAAAGTCAGGAATCTGAACCTCAGGAAAACATATACTGTGGGTACAATGGCCAACCACAAATTATGCATGTTAATTACATACTGCAATTAGGTAAAGGTTCAGCCAGCAAACCATTTTCACTGTACTTTACTCAAGCATTAAGCAGCTGCGTGGTTCAACAATGACCTGGGACTGTGTTTCTTGTTTGCCCTATGGTTCACTTACTGATTTTTGTGTCTTTTTTCCCCTCACAGATAATACCAACTCATGTAGCTTTATAGTATATCAAAACGACAAGCTCTTCCAATCAAAAACTTTTAAAACTAAATTAAATTTTACTCAAAAAGTTATCTCAGGCAAAACTGATGGGAAGGGGGATGATCAGAGCGCTTCTGTTGAAATGGCCTTCCGACCACAGGTGAGTTTTCCCATTAGCAGTTGTTAAAAATTCAGCCACCTCTTGATTACAAAAGCAGGAAGAGTTTGGGGAAAAGAAATCAACAGAAAAAGTTTTGAAAGATTCTTTGAAAGTATTTGTTTAAACCTTCCACCCACCCATATTTTTTGTCAGACTAGCTAAATGCATACTTGGCTAATTTGAACTTTATATCCTTTTCCCTTCCCTAATTTATACTGAAGATGGTATATTTAGTACATATCTGATTTCCCAACTGATTATCTTATCCTTTTTGATTTTTAAGCATTAAAACATCAGATACAATGGTCTTATCCGTTCACAGCATAACCCAAAAGAATTCAAACTCCACTCCTATGCCTGTGTCTTTTGGAATTTTTCAAAGAAGGATTGGGACACAAACGGCTGTCACAAAGACAGGGGAGCTGGTGACTTCGTGCGCTGCCGCTGCAACCACACCACTAACTTTGCTGTTCTAATGGTAAGGTTGTACACAGTAACCTCTTTTCAGGCAAGAATTTTCCTTACACACAGTTCTGGTATGTGCTAATTGGAGATAACACTGGGCTTTAGTTTACCCCAGTCAGATTAAATAGAAAAAAGGCAATGGAATGATGAGACTAAAAAGGAAAGTGCTGGTAGAGGCAAGTAGAATAGGGTTTTTTGTTTTTGTTTTTGTTTTTTTTTGCAATTAGGTCTCAGGATAGATGAGTTCAGCACTGTGTATTTTATTAATGAGAAGGGATCCAGTGTGCCAAAGAGTTGCTGACATATTCCATTCAATTAATGTGTATGTTCTGAAGCATGAAGTTGTTATAGCCATGGGTATGGCTAGAGCTGTGTTGGGGACAGTTTCAATACATACTTAGCTGTGGTGAGGGGCTGTTTAAATCAGTTACCCATAGCTTTTTCCACGTAATCATCTAAGTTACTAAGGTTTTGCTAGAAGATACAAGAGGAAAATCCTCTTGAATTCATTCAATTTGTCCCATACTTCGGTATGTATTTCTGAAGTCTTTTAACTGCCAAGCTTCCTTTCACAAGCACTGAAAACACCTAGCTCTGGTGTGCAGCTAGCTGTATTGCAGCTCTGAAAGTTCCTGGGCTGATGCTTTTAAGAAGAGGTGTTTCTGTTTGTTCCATTTCCAAAAGCCTATTATTTTGGTGTAACCAAAAATGTCAGTTTATAAACTTGATGAAATGTATTCATACACAATGAAATGAGTGTCCTACCCATCTTAAGGGATTCTTAATGTCATGAATTTCTGAAACAGAAGTGGATATTTTCATTCCCCAGTAGCCATGATGTAGCCATACTTGGGAAGCCAGGGGATCAGACCATACTGGAACAACATAGAATATCAAATTAGAGAAATCTTTAAAAATCTTTTTTGAAATAACTATAGTTTTCTTACTTTAGTTATAAAATCTTACTTGATTTTAATTGTTCATTTTCTTTTTTAAAATTTAAGTTATGTTTTGTTATGTAAGCTATTATAGTTCTCCCAGTTTTTTCCCTTTTGTTTTGCACTCTCTCCCCTGTTCCCTCAGGCAATTCCCATGCCATTGTTCATGTCATGGATCATGCATGTATGTTCTTTGGCTACTTTATTCCCTGTGCTGTACTTTACATACCCATGGCTGTTCTGTGATAACCAATTTGTACTTCTTAAACCTCTCACCATTTTTGCCCATCTCCTGGACCCCTCTCCCATCTGGCAACCATCAAAACATTCTCTATATCTATGATTCTGTTTTGGTGCTGCTTGTTCATTTACTTTGTTCTTCAGATTCAGTTGTTGATCTATATGTATTTATTGACATTTTATTGTTCTTTTAAAAATATTTTTATTTTTTTTCTTAAAGAGGTCCCTTCAACATTTTATATAAAAATGGCTTGGTAGTGAAAAACTCCTTTAGCTTCTTCTTGTCTGGGAAGTTCTTTACCTGTCCTTTGATTCTAAATGATAGCTTTGCTGGGTATAGTAATTTTGGTTGTAGGTGCTTGCTTTTCATCACTTTGAATATTTCTTGCCAATCCCTCTAGCTGCAAAGTTTCTGTTGAGAAATCAGCTGACAGTCTTATGGAAGCTCCCTTGTAGGCAACTAACTGCTTTTCTGTTGCTGCTTTTAAGATTTTCTCTCTTTGTCTTTAACCTTTGGCATTTTAATTATGATGTATCTTGGAGTGGGCTTCCTTGGTTTCATCTTGTTTGGGACTCTGCACTTCCTGGACTTGTATGTCTATTTCCTTCACCAAGTTAGGGAAGTTTTCTGTCATTATTTTTTCAAATAGGTTTCCAATTTCTTGCTCTCTCTCTTTTCCTTCTGGTATCCTCATGATGCAAATGTTGATATGCATGAAGTTGTCCCAGAGGCTCCTTACACTATCCTCACTTTTTTTGGATTCTTTTTTCTTCTCGCTGTTCTGATTGGGTGCTTTGTGCTTCCTCATATTTCAAATTGCTGATTTGATTTTCAGCTTCATCCACTCTACTATCGATTCCCTGTAAATTGTTCTTTATCTCAATTAGTGTGTCCTTTATTTCTGACTGGATCTTTTTTATGCTATTGAACTCCTCACTAAGTTAATTGAACATCCTTATAACCAGTGTTTTGAACTCTGCATCTAGTAAATTGCTTGTCTCCATTTTGTTTGGTTCTTTTTCTGGAGTTTTGTTCTATTCTTTCAGTTGGGCCATGTTTCTTTGTCTCTTCATTTTGACAGTCTTCCTGTGTTTATTTCTATGTATTAAGTAGAGCTGTTATATTTCCCAGGCTTGGTAGTGTGGCCTAATGTAGTAGGTGTCCTATAGGGTCCAGTGGCATAGCCTGTCCTATCACCCAAGCTGAGTACTGAAGGTGCATCCACTGTGTGGATTGTGTACAACCCTCCTGCTGTAGTTGACCCTTGATTGCTGTTGACATGTCCCAGGTCAGCAACTGCCTGTGTTCTGTCAGGGGCCACTGGCATAAGCTACAAAGCAATCTTCAGATGGTTGCTACTTGTGCTGGGCTTGGAGGTGCTCAGGTGGGGCCAACCTGTGAACCAAAGCCAGCTGCTGCTAGTGCTGGGCCTGGGGCAACTTAGAGAGAGGTACAGGTCTTACTGAGGCTGCTGGTTTGAGAGAATTTAGGAAAATGTGAAGCATGAGCCATTGATATGGAAACAGCTTGGGTGGGCCTGAAGTTGGGTGGAACAAGGCCTCAGGGAATCACCAGGGTGGGGCAAACAGCATGAACCAGGTTGATGGAGTCTCGGGTAAGGCACCTACCTACTGGCTCTGTGGGGGCACAGCTCAGAAAAGGAACAATGGCCTCTGCCAGCACTTCTTTCTGAGAGAAAGCTGCCCCCTAGCTCTGTGTATTTTCTAACTTGTATTACACAGAGATCTGCTTTCTTAATCACAACATAAAAAAGATAAAATTTTAACTTTTTGATAGCTTCAGGTCATTAGTATCATTGAAGGGCTGTGTGAAGCTCAGACTGCTGTTCATAGAAAATGATTGAGAATACAGTGTCATAGTTATTTTTTTCCTTTTTTGAGTTCAGGCTTTCAGTTATTTCTTTTCACTAATATCTGAATCTGCCTCAGTGACTACCTACTCACATTTACAATTAGTTTTGAATTACAAAACTTTTAAAAAGGCTGCTTAGAATTGTATGTAAGGTAAGGTTGGGTAGGCTCTGAATAAACAGATGATTTCTGTGATCTGAAGGTATATGTATTCTATGATTATTTGTCATCATGAAATTTTTGTTTTATTATTACTTTAAAGGATGTTTATTTTATATTTACTTCTACAAAAGAAATACATACTCATTGCATAAAGTATGAAAATTTATCTACTGAAAAGAGATATACTGATATGGAAAATATTTATGAGATCTTAAATAACAATTTGAGAAAAATTCTATACGTTAACAACCCCGTATGTGTTTGTGCAAGAGACATAGGCAATAGTTGTTAGTACATAAGGAAGGTCACCTCTGGAGAAGAGACTGGATTTCAAGAGGTGTAGGGTATGAGGTGGGTGGCAGACAATAAAGAGAAACATGCTTTTAAAATTATATTTCTATATTATTTTTACATTTTATAAATAAGTAAATATAACTTTTAAAATTTTAACAACTACACAAATTAGAAAGTACAGGCAAGCAAGAATAATTATATATATTCTATGTACCCAGTGACCACTATTATTACCTCTCTAGATTTCTAAGAATACATACTTACATAAAATATACTTTTTTGTGGATATATACTAAAATACTGGGGTAGAAAGATATATATTACACAAAAATTAGATCTTTAAAAAATGACAGGATCGCCCTGGCTGGCATAACAGTGGATTGAGCACGGGCTGTGAACCAAAGTGTCGCAGGTTCGATTCCCAGTCAGGGTACATGCCTGGGTTGCAGGCCATGACCCCCAGCAACCGCACTTTGATGTTTCTCTCTCTCTCTCTTTCTCCCTCCCTTCTCTCTCTAAAAAAAATAAGTAAATAAAATCTTAAAAAAAAGAAATTATTAAAAAAAATGACAGGATCATGTGAACATATTTCCATATCCTTAGAGATATTTCTGCAACTTTATTTTTAGAGCATCAGCCTAAATATGCTGATTTTCCTTTTGGTTATAGTTATACATAAAAATAATGTAATGGATAAATGAAGTGACTCTAGCCTTACATCTAATCCAAACAACTTTGATTTTTAGACACTGAGGAATCATATATTTGTTTCCCCTAACTGAATCAGTTAAATAACTGTTCTCAAGCCCTAATATTTCATGTAAACTGCTTAGCAATAAAGGATTAATGTACTTTCTCTCTGGTTATTTTAACTAACGTAACTTTGCAAGATGTGTACTTTCACAGACATTTCAGCAATGGTTATTTAAATGAATTAGTCCTGACTTATTTTCCAGAGTTTCAAAAAGAACTATAAATATCCTGAATCACTAGACGTATTGTCCACCGTTGGATGTGCGCTGTCCATTTCCGGTCTGGCTCTCACGATTATATTTCAGATTGTCACCAGGTAAGAAAGGAAGCTGGTGCTCCTCATGAAAGAAATTGCTATCCTTTTTATTTCCTCTGAGCATATTCTCATCAGAATATAGTTTCTTGAAGCTACAAGGGAAATCAGATTTAGTTCAACATGTTCATTTTTAAAGAAGACAGGCCTGGAGAGGCTAAGAAATACACACAAGTAAGTATATGCTTACAAACTGGTAAATGCCTTGAAAGAAAATTACATACCATGTAATTACCAGTTTACCATGTAAAATTAACATGGTCTGGTAGCTCATCAATGCCACAGTTCCTTTATGTTGAATAGACACATAATTACCGATTTGCATTTGTAAAAGAAAGAAATATTGCCACACAGCCAAGTTTTCAAAAATAAAAGTAATTTAAAATATATTAAGTTTTCAAATGGTGAAACTTTTAAAAAGATTTTGAATTTCATGCTTTACAATATCTATTACAGATGACCTATAAATACACATTTCTGTCCACCTTGGCCCCCTCACTCTAGGTTCAATTTTGTATAGCACTGGTTATTTTCTGTCACATGCTACATTTTTAATAATCTGGAAATGTAAGCCTGATTATTTTTAGTTTACTTGTGGACTGTTTTCCCCATCAGCATGAATATTGATGAGGACAGTGACCTCTGATTTTGTTGTCGCTGTTTGTTTGTTTGTTTTGTTTTGGCCACTGTATTCCCTGGGCTGACCACTGTCCCCGGCTCACAGTAGAGGAATGTATGTGGACGGAATGGGCCTGTCGGGTGGTCCCAGCAGCTTCTCGTCTCCCACTCGAGATATCTCAAAATGAATTCATCCTTCCTTCAGAAGTATTTCTCTCTACTAAATTCCTTCACAACTTATTTCTCAGATATGTATGTTTACAGTGCTTTTTATTTTAAAGGTAGTGCTGTTTAAAACTTTTCCTGAAATTTTCTTTAAAAAAAACCTATGGAAAAGTTGAAAGAGAACACTGAACACCCATATATCCTTCACCTATATTCTCCAGTTAATAATATTTTGCTCTCTTTTTCGATTTCTCCCTGCAATTCTGAAAGTAACTTGTAGGAATCATGACTATCATCCCTAAATTCTTGGAGCATGTACGTCCTGTGAATAAGGCCATTCTCCTACATGGTACAGCACTGTTATTCTCACTCAGGAAATTTAACCCAAGAAATTTAACATTAATATGCTGTTATTGTGTTGATATATAATCCATATTCAAATTTCTTCCAATTGTCCCAGTAATGTCTGTTATAGCTATTTTTCTCCTCAATTTATTTAGTTGCCATGTCTGTTTAGTCTTCTTTAGCCTAGAATAATACCTTTGCTATTTTTGTTTGTTTTGGTCTTTCATGACATTAAAACTTTTGAGGTATTCAGATTAGTTATTTTGTAGCAACTGGGATATTCTACAGTTTAGGGTTTGTCTGGAATTTTTCTCATGATAGACACAGGTTAAAAATATTTCATGAGAATATTTGAGCCTCTCAGTGTGACACACAGAAGTACCGGGTGTCAGTTTGTCCCATTATTGGTTAAGTTTGATTCCTTGTTTCATGTTGTGCCTGTAAGATTTCTACATTGTGAAGGTGCATTTTGTCCCTTTGTAAATAATCGGTAGTTTGTGGGGTGATACTCTGAGACTGTGACTATCCTGTTCCCCAACATTCCCTGAGCAGTTTTGGTATCCTTACTGAAATATATTACTATGCTGGTGGTGGGAAATAACAATTTTCTAACCTATCATGCTACATTTAGTCACTATATCCCCGTGTAAAAAGTACGGTCTCTGATGTGACCAGAGGGAGTCCCTTCATGCTGCTTTATCACGTCCCTCTCAGTCTCCAAGTAGTTCCTATTTTCAGGCACAGCACTCTCTCTGCCCCACACTTGGAACCACCCATTTTTCCAAAGAACCAGAATTCTTTCTGGTTCCTCTTCTTTATTTTTCACACTCAAGTCTCTTGCTATTCATTTAAAATTTTTATATGGAGTGCTTCCTCTGGGCCAAGCACACATACGAACAATACAGGCAAGCTCCCATCTCTCATAGTATTTACATTCTCAGGGGGAAGACAAATGTTGTATAAATATATATAGAAATTTTATATATAATTACCAATTATGGTAAGTGCCTTGAAGAAATTACATGGCATGTAATTACAAGTCTGTCACACAAATTGGGATGGCTCTTATAATGGTCTTTTCATTTGTTTTTCTACCATCACCCCACTGGAGCAATAGTATGATCCCATGGGAAAAATTGTGGTAACAGCATAACTAGTTTCTTTGCCTAAAATCTCACTGCTTTGAATTGTCATCAGATTTTTTTTTGCATCCTCTGTCAATGCATTTCTGAGCACAAGTGCTATTACAGTTCTCACTAAAATCTAATCAGGAAAGAAAAACAAAAATGAAAACAAAATTGTGTTGATTTTAAAATCCTGAATCAAATAGTTTTCTTTGCTCACAGGTAGGTTTCCATATAAAAATAATACATATATATTTATTCCATATGATATGTATTATATATTTGTGTGCATAATAATATACAGAAGAACCAAAATGAAATAAGCCTTTTTCCTGTGGATTATAATTTATGTTTGAAATTGGAGAAAAATTAGAAACTAACTTTATTTTATATAAAAGGATCTTTCTGAGTATTTTTTGCCATTCTCAACTAAAATGTCAAGAGAATGGACAGAGTTCTGTTTAAGTATAGCTTTTTATTCATCATGGAAATCCAAAGACTGAGAAAAATCATGAAGGAATGCTATAAAAGCATAAAGGATGTATAATCAGCAAACAGACTCATCAAATTCTGGGACATTAAAAATAGAGAGTAGTTGAAGATGTTAGAGCTTTAAGCACAGTATAAACTTAAAGAAATAGTTATTCCAGGAGGCCTTGTAGTCTGAAAAATCTAGAAGGATTTAGATGGCAGTGAGTGAAGATTTTATAACTTACAACTTTCATTGATATAGGACTGTATACCATAGTCTACAGAGAACTGTAATGTCATTAGAGGGGAGGTAAGGATATATCTGCCCTTAAACATTAAGGAAAACATGACATGCACAGTAAAAAGAATGTCACATCTCACATCTGAATCAGTTTTACTCAGGGCAACCTTGAATTCTGTGCCAATCTCAAAATACACATATGGGCCACTACAGAGCTCCCCCCAACCAACTCATCTCTCATCCCACTGTCTTCTGGAGACCCTTGTTGAACACCACCAGCCTGCAGACAAAATGAGAAAGGGCTTTTCGAGCAAAATCTTAGGTAAATATGAGAAGGAAAAAAAAAAAAGCATTTTAAAGAGCACTTGGTTCTACATCCAGAACTGTACCTTCCAATGAAGGGCCAGTGCTTGGGCGTGTTTGAGATTAAAAGGCCCATTCAGACCATCTTGACTGCTGGCCGTCAGCTGGTGCTTCCCAAAGTCTGGTCCTTGCAGCTCCAGCCCTTGGGAGATACTCCATGGACACAGGGCTTGACAGGTCTTACAGAAAAGACACGTGTGAAACTTTGTTGTGTACAAGTCATTTACAGGGGTAGTGATAGTCTATTCAAATTATGAAGAATACCACTAGTAGCAATAGGCTGTTAACAAATTTTAAATATTTTTACTTACTTTAAAATGTTTATGGGAGCCTCATAAAGCAATGTAAGCCAAACCTTATACCATCTTGTTAGTTTAAAGGTAATAATTTAAAAATACTTGAAATTATAAAGTTAGTTAAAATTATATCAGGCCTTATTCTTTAAAAATGTATGCATGAATTTTAAAACACTAAAAAACTCAAGAGACTTTCTCTACATTTGCACATGGGTTCATCTACTAATATGCAATCATTTTCTATTTTGAGAATTTGAAAAATCCTTTTAGAGCCTTTCTGTAGATAGCCTTTGTATGTGCTTGCAAATCTAGAGAAGTTATAGTCTAGTGCAGTATTAAAAACTGCCCGAAAACTTGGTGTCTTGAAACAACAATTTATAATCTCTATGATTCTGTGGCTTGACTGGGCTCAGCTGGACAGCTCCTCCAAAGGTCTCCCTTCACCTTTCCCATGAGACTGCAGGCACAAGGTGGCTGGGGCCAGAGCCATCCGGAGGTTTGCGGGGAGGCTGCAACAGCAGGGTTGCTCCACACAGTCTTGGGGCATTTCCACAAGGTTCTTTTGAGGGTAGCTGAACTTTTTATGTGGTGGCTCAGAACTCCCAGAAGCACTAAAGGGAAAACTTGTGATGACTTTCACGTGTCCTAGGCACATTTGCCTTTGTGGGGCTCTCCTCCATAAAAAGGACAAAAATTATATTTTATGACAGTATTGGTATAAAGACAAGTATATTAATATTATATGCTAAATATTTTCTCTGACTGAAAAGTTTATTTTTTGTTTTCTTTTGGTTGAAAAGGAGTTAGGACATTGCTGTGGGCCAGAAAAGTGTTGTGGGCCCTAAGTACTATGGTATCTAATGGATAAGGCAGCCCCATCTCCCCGGCCTTCTGTTAGTTAAAAGGAGTCACAGGCAGCCCTGGTAGGTGAATATGCCCAGGATGTTAATGCCCAGGGTGTAAATATTGGGAAGTAGAATTTATTGGGAGCCATCTCTGGGGAGTAGCTGTCACCTTGGATTAGAACACAGTTTCAAGGAAGGACGTATCAACTTATTTTCTAACTCACTTCATTGTGTAAATGACATAAGAGAGGAGCATAATTTTCTGGTGTTGCTGGGAAGATAGATTTACCAGGTGGTCCACAGGCTATGAGCTGAATTTACATGGGATAATAATATGCTTTGTTCCCTCACAATTTTACTTGAGTGTTTGCATTGCAGTTGTTTTGTTTGTTTATTTATTTAATTACGTTTACTTATTTCTATTCAGGAGAGTCAGAAAAACCTCAGTAACCTGGGTGTTGGTCAGTCTGTGCACATCAATGTTGATTTTCAACCTCCTTTTTGTGTTTGGAATTGAGAACTCCAACAAGAAATTAAGTGCAAATGACGCCCAAGATACTGATTCTAATAGTAATGAAAAGCCCAAAGCAGAAACTGTGGACCCTGTGAACCCCACATGCACGGCGGTGGCCGCCTTGCTGCACTACTTTCTGCTGGTGACGTTTACCTGGAGTGGCCTCAGCGCCGCGCAGCTCTATTACCTTCTGATCAGGACCATGAAGCCCCTTCCTCAGCGTTTCATTCTTTTCATCTCCTTAATTGGATGGGGTAAGTGTTTGCTTCTCTCCTTACTCAGGACTTTAATTTTGTTGAAATCATTTAATTTAAACAAATGCCTACTGAAGGCCTAATAGTACAAGGCCTTGAGGTAGGGGGCATGGAAAAGCCAGAAACCAGTAAAAGTGCCTTCCACCCGGTAGCTCATACTCCTGCGGAGGCAGAAGGGTCAAGGCAGCTCTACAAGATACATTATAAGCTGACTTCAAGATGTTAATGTCCTTTGACATCTCTGTTAGTTTGATTTGAGATTTAGACCACAAAAACTTTCTTTTTTTTAAATATATTTTATTGATTATGCTATTACAGTTGTCCCATTTCCCCCCTTCTCTCCCCTCCACCCTGTACCCCCTCTCCCACCCACGTTCCCCCCCTTTAGTTCATGTCCATGTGTCATACTTGTGAGTTCTTTAGCTTCTACATTTCCCATACTATTCTTGCCCTCCCCCTATCTATTTTCAACCTACATTCTATGCTACTTATTCTCTATACCTTTTCCCCCCTCTCCTCCTCCCACCCCCCTACTGCTAGCCCTCCATGTGCCCTCCATTTCTGTGGTTCTGTTCCTGTTCTAGTTGTTTACTTAGTTTCTTTTGGTTTTGCTTTAGGTGTGGTTGTTAATAATTGTGAGTTTGCTGTCCTTTTACTATACATGTCTTTTTCTTTATCTTCTTTTCTTAGATAAGTCCCTTTAGCATTTCATAAAATAAGGGCTTCGTGATGATGAATTCCTTTAATTTGACCTTATCTGAAAAGCACTTTATCTTCCCTTCCATTCTAAATGAGAGCTTTGCTGGATAGAGCAATCTGGGATGTAGGTCCTTGTTTTTCATGACTTGGAATATTTCTTTCCAGCCCCTTCTTGCCTGTAAGGTCTCTTTTGAGAAATCAGCTGACAGTCTGATGGGAACTCCTTTGTAGGTTACTGTCCCCTTATCTCTTGCTGCTTCTAGGATTCTCTCCTTCGTTTTTACCTTGGCTAATGTAATTATGATGTGCCTTGGTGTGTTTCTTCTTGGGTCCAACTTCTTTGGGGGCTCTCTGAGCTTCTTGGATTTCTTGGAAGACTGTTCCCTTTGCCAGATTGGGGAAGTTCTCCTTTATTATTTGTTCAAATAACTTTTCCACTTGTTGCTCTTCCCCTTCTGGTACCCCTATAATTCAGATGCTGGAACGTTTAAAGGTGTCCTGGATGCTCTTAAGCTTTTCCTCAATTTTTTTAATTCTTATTTCATCATGCTTTCCTGCTTGGTTGATTCTATCTTCCTTCTGGTCCACTGTATTATTTTGAGACTCAGATTCCTTCCTTTCATTATTGGCTCTCCTCCGCGTATCTTCCTGCATCTCTTTTATGGTAGGTAACCTGCATCCTTTCATCTAAATTGCGCCCAAAGTCAACCAATTCCGTGAGCATTCTGATCACCAGTGTTTTGAACTGTGCATCTGGTAGATTGGCTATTTCTTGGTCGCTCAAAAGGATGAGTCCTGGGGGACTGATTTGTTCTGCTGGAAACATGTCTTATATCTTTCCCTGTCTCTCCTTTTTTTTTTTTTTTTTTTGGTCTTGTCGCTCTTGTTACGGTGGGGGTGCGGAGCCTTAGGTGTTCACCAGGGCTGGGCACCCCAGTTGCTAGATTGTGATGTTATATGTGGGGGCGGGGGCGGGGACGGCAGGGAACAATGGCGGTAGTTCCGTCCTCCTGGGCTCAGACACCTCTTCGGGATCCTGGGCCGCGAGCTCCGCCCTGGTCCACAATTGCTGCCTCACTGGGTCCCCCAGCCACAGCTTGCCCACTCAGGGATCACCGCTGCGTTCTTGCACCCCAGATGGCTGTCGCGCCGATTTTGCACCAAATTTTCCCCGACCTCCGAGCGCCGCCGACCTGCGCCAGCCCCGCACCCGCCCGGCTCGTCGTCCCCTACCAGTCTGGATGTACGGGTCTACTTCAACTTCTTGGCTGTCCGACTTCCATTCAGATAAATCCTCTATCAGTTCTGAGTGATATTATATCTGTAAATTATTGTTTTTCTAATCTTGGTTGTGCGAGGAGGTACGGTGAGTCCACTATTCCTCCATCTTGCCGGAAGTCTAGACCACAAAAACTTTCTAGCTACTTTATTTATTTATTGTTTGGGGGGTGCCACAGAATTTTATTTAAAAATTTTTTTGAAAAATATTTTATTGTTCATGCTACTGCAGTTGTCCCAGCTTTCCCCACTTTGTCCCCCCTCCACCCAGCCCACCCCCTCCACTCCCACAGGCACTCCACACTGTTGTCTGTATCCATGGCCGTTCATACATATTCTCTGGCTACTCCCTTCACCTTCTTTCCACCAGTCCCCATCTCCCCCATCACTTCTTACAGCTGTCTGTCCCACTTTTTATGCCTCTGATTCTGTTTTGCTTATTAGTCTATTTTGTTTATTACATTCTACTTATAAGTGAGATAATATGGTATTTTTTTATAACTGGCTTATTTTACTAGCATAATGCTCTCCAGTTCCATCCATGCTGTCACAAAGGGTAGGAATTCCTTCTTTTTTACAGCCTAGTGGTAATCCATTTTATGTAAATGTACCACAGCTTTTTTATCCACTCATCTACTGACGGGTCTGTTTCCACATCTTGGCTATTATAAACAACACTGCTATGAACACAGAAGTGCATATATTCTTTTGGATTGGTATTTCAGTATTCTTAGGATACATTCCCACAAGTGGAATCACTGTGTCAAAGGCATTTCCACTTTTAATTTTTTGAGAAAACTCCATACTGTTTTCCACAGTGGCTGCACCAGACTGCATTCCCACCAACAGTGCACTAGTGTTCCCTTTTTTCCACTTCCCTGCCAACACTTGTTTTTTTCTGATTTATTAGTGATATCTCATTGTCGTTTTAATTTGCATCTCTCTCATGGCTAGTGACGTTGAGCATTTTTTAATATGTCCATGGACCCTCTGTATGTCCTCCTTGGAGAAGTGTCTATTCAGGGTTTTTACCCATTTTTAAATTGGATTGTTTGTCTTCCTGGTGTTGAGTCATATAAATTCTTTATATATTTTGGAGATCAAACCCTTGTCTGATGTATTATTGGCATTTATGTTCTCCCATATAGTGGGTTCCCTTTTACATTTTGATGATGGTTTCTTTAGCTGTGCAGAAGCTTTTTAATTTGCAATAGTCTCATTTGTTAGTTTTTTCCTTTGATTCCCTTGCCCTAAAAGATATATCAGCAAAAATACTGCTACGTGAGATATCTGAAATTTTACTGTTTTCCTCTAGGATTGTTATGTTATCATGACTTATACTTAAGTCTTTTATCCATTTTGAGTTTATTCTGGCATATGGTGTAAGTTGGTAGTCCAGTTTCATTTTTCTGCATATATTTGTCCAATTTTCTCAACACCATTTATTGAAGAGCATTGTATGCTCTTGCTTCCTTTGTCAAATATTAATTGATCATAAAGGTGTGGATTTATTTCTGGGCTCTATTCTGTCCATTAATCTATATGTCTGTTCTTATGCCAGTATCAGACTATTTTGATTACAGGGACCTTGTAATATAGTTTGATATAAGGTACTGTGATTCTTCCAACTTTGTTCTTCTTTCTCAAGATTGCTGAGGCTATTCAGGGTCTTTTTGGTTCCATATAAATTTTTGGAATATTTGTTTTAGATCCATGAAATATGCCATTGGCATTTTAATAGGAATTGCACTGAATCTATAAATTGCTTAGGGTTGTATGGACATTTTGATGATATTAATTCCTCCAATCTATGAACACAGTATATGCTTCCACTTATTTGTATCTTCTTGATAGTCTTATAGTTTTCCAAGTACATGACTTTTACCTCCATGGTTAAATTTATTCCTAGGTACCTTATTTTTTTTGTTGCAACAGTAAATGGGATTGTTTTCTTAGTTTCTCTTTCTGATATAGTTCATTATGGGTATATAAAAATGCTATCAATTTCTCAGTATTGATTTTGTACCCCAACTTTGCCACTTCTAGCCACATCAATACCCAACTTGAAAAGAAATGCTATAATAAAGACAACTAGAGCAACTCTTTAAGAAAAATAATTTGAAAACTGTTAACCTAAATCTCAAGGATCATTTAGTATGTTGTCCATAGTGGAAAGAATGATACATTCTGAAAAGGGTCAGTTGTATAATTCATTCATGGTCTTTTATAATTAATCCTTGTCTTGGGTAAATTATTAATTGAATGCCTCTCTTTATCATCTAGGAGTCCCGGCTATTGTGGTGGCGGTGACAGTGGGAATCATTTTTTCTCAGAATTCGGCCTCAGAGTGGCAATTAAAATACCGGCAAGAAGCAATGTGAGTTTAGCAGGGATGGGTGGGGAGGGGCGAGGTGGGGTGAAAATGGAGACAATTGTACTGGAACAACAACAATAAAAAAAAAGATTTCCCTTTACAATTAAAAAAAGTAAGCTTACATTTTTTAATGTCCATTTTTTATATGACTTTAAGTATTCAGTGATGTTGAGTCCAAGTGTCACTGTACATAGGCATCTCACTTTATAATTGTCATATTCCAAGTGGGTGTTTCAGATTTTCAAAGAACACTTACATTTTAAATATGGTGACATGAAAATTTCCTATGATAAATCCTTTGGTAAAGCAAGTATTTACCTTCTAAATTTATAAATTTGAACTTTCTTTTGTTAAATTGAATTTTTATTAAGTCTGAAAAATTATAGGGCGAAGTTGGTGTAATCTTTAGTAATGGTTTTTCTTAGTTTTCTCATCTAGTAATTAGAATAACAATGATAGTAATACCTGCTCAGGGGTACTGTGAGGGGTCAAACAAATGTGAAAATGTTCCATATCTTGAAGAGCACTATCCATGCTTATGAGCCAATTCTCTGTTTATGTGATTATAATGAAGGTTCCATGATGATTTACTACACATAACACATTCTCCCTGTGACTCAAGCCTGAATAACTAACTGTTAATAATGGAAGCACCTGACTGTATGGTGTTTGCTTTTTATGTGGGGAGGAAGAGAAGAGAGCTGAGCTAAACTTTTTACATGTATTTCTGCTATTGAATGACAACTGCTATTTAATTGACCCTCCCTTCTCATTTTATAATCCAACCATTGTAGTCCCCAGATTCCACCTTAAGACTCAGACCAACTCAAGTGAAAAGAAAACTCTTGGAAATGTGCAAGTACCCCCAAGGGAAAGCTGTGGTGTCAGGGTGCTTACCTACTTCCAGGGCTAACCATGCCCAGCTGTAGAATAGGAGACTATGTGTCTGATTTGATTTCAGAAGCCAAATACTTCAGGCACCATTTTCTCTGTTTCATCAGGGTTAAGTGTCTCTTAGTGAGTTTTAAATTTTGAATTTTACAGTTAGAGATCGTGACAAGATGCATGTATCTCGTGGGAGAGGTAATTCAGTTCAAATCACATTTTTAATTTTCTACCTAAAACCAGGCACAGGGCTAGACTTGCTCCTATAAAAGCCTTTAGGAGAAAGACACCTACTTTCTTAAAATTATTCATACTTAGCTGTAAATAATTAAGAGCAGATTCTTTCCTGAGTACAATATTAGATGTTAGGGAAGACACTAGGTGACTGGTAACAGAGGCTGGGAAGAGAGGAAAGGATATGTAATATCTGCCTCCTGTTGAGCCCTTATCCCCCATGTTCCACCGTCTACACAGGCATCAGAGGTCACATTCCTTCAGGATTTATTTAGAGGAGGGACTTTTTGGTTTTCCTCAGTTATCCTCCCAGTAGTTGAGCTTCAACATCTCATGCCCTCCCCCACTGCTCCCCACTCCGCCAGTGATACCTGAAACCCCTGACCCAGTTCCCCTGATGAACTGCTCTCTTTGACAGAAGGACCTAACTAATGGGGTAGGTGTAGCACAGGCCATGTTCCTCCTTCCAGCTCTGTCCCCCAGTTCTCTGCACCATGATCATATAAGCTGCTTCCAGACTTTTCTGGAGGGTTGGGGTAATCATGAGAAATTATAATACATTGGAGGTGAAGATTATTTGATTACATGCTGTGTGTGCTAAAGTTCTCTTCACGGTGTGCTTCATGGCAAAATCACCAAGGAGTTAAACTCTTCATCTGTGGTCCACTTATGATGCTCTCCAGATCTCAGGTCCATAGCTTTTTGTCAGTTCAACCTTGACCATGTGACTCTCCAATCTCAACTCTAGAAATCTTGTTCTGTGCCTACAAGGGTTAGTTTCACAGTAGGATCATTCTTTCTCCTCAGCAGTCTATTTATCATAGTCCAAGTTATTAAATTAAGGATAACAAAGGGAGAGGCTGTTGTGAGAACAAATTCAGCGTGATTTCTCTCCAAGTACTATAAAGGACAGAGGGGTTTAGGAGGAGGGCCCTCCTAGGGCACACTTCCTAATGACCATGGGTATCCACGCCTATTCCCCTTCTAGGTTACCCCCCCAGTGTTAGGTAATTGAGGAATCTGACAACATTTGTACACACACACACACGTCTATTGTGCAAACAGTAATCTCAGAAATTTTATCACCTAAAGTTTAAACAACTCAAGACATACAGATATGGATAAATACTTGTCTGTTTGTTTCATAATCTGGAAGTCTCCTTTATCCAGTAGAGCTGGATTATTCCTTTTCTTTCTTGATATTTTCCTCTCTTTTTAAACTGTGTTTCTTTAGGCTGTCTGGCAAAGAAATGTATTCATCTTTTTCATTTAAGACTTTTGGTGGCCACTTTCTTAGTTACTAAAGAAGTTTCTTGAGATTTGAAAGTACTTTTCCTCAAGATTTCATTAAATTCTTAGCCAAGTGCCCTCATTTCTTCTGTGTAGGGAAACGTGAGATGGAGGACAGACGAGTTGTTCTCCAGTTACAGATGAAAGGAAAGGGAAAACAGAAGTCCTGAAGATAAACTTGTTCACTCTCACTGTTTTATTTAAGGATGGGCCTAGTCTATGTATCAATGGGTTGGAGACACTCCTTTTCACTTTTTAATTCACTGTAGAGACTTGAACATCATTACAGTTTTCTTGAAGATCATTCAGATTAGAAATATGATTTGTCATAATTTAAACTAAAACAACAGTCCAAAGCAAAACAGTTTAGAAATCCTTTAACTTTTGTATAACAATGTTTTACTTATAGGGGAAGGAAAACATACATTAATTGAATGTCAAATATATTCCAGGCCTTCTCACATCAATACCCAAGTGCCTACTTGACACCTCCAGTTGGCTGTCTGATAAGACTTCTCCTGGTCGTCCCTCCCAAACCTGCCCTTCCCATCATCTTCTGCATCTTAGTTAATGGTAATTCCATTCTTCCAGGCACTGAGGCCAGAGTTTGGAGTCATCCTTAATTCTCCTATATCTCACATCCAACCTACCAATAAAATAAATCATCTTGCTTTACTTATAAATATGAGGTCTGCTTAGAAAGTATCCAGCCATGTATTATGAAAAATAGAGACATTTATTGAAGATTACAAGATATAAGAAACATTGTACATAGGACAATGACATCTGTTCCTTTCAAAGCAGGCACCTTGGGACCTCACACAGTTCTCCCAATTGCCATCAGCTACCCTGTTGTATTTTCCTGAATCTTATTGATGGTCTTAAATCTCTTCCCTTTCAAAGGTGATTTTAGTTTTGGGAAAAGCTAGAAGTTGCAGGGTGTCAAATCTGGGCTGTAGGGGGTTGAGTCACTTGGGTGATTTGATGTTTTGCCAAAGAACTCTGCACGGGACATGATGCACGAGTGGGCACATTGTCATGATGAAGCTGCCTATCACCAGTTGCTCATAGCTGTGGCCCTCTGAATCATCCAAATAGTTTTCATGGAGGAATGTTCAAGCTTAATATAAAATTTGATACAGATTTATTGTTCTACTTGCTTAGTCATTTTGAATGCAATGGCCACACAATACACATGATCAGTCAATGGCATCTACTGCCCCCACTGACTAGTACAGTGTAGTCATCATTGTTCACGCACATGCATTTCAGTCCACTCTCCTTGGCTGCTAGGTTACACTGATGTCACGTAAACCATTTTTGTTATATTAACAATGGTTGGACTTTTTCCCGACAGACCTGGTTTATCTGTAACTAGACTATATTTTTTCCTTTTTATAAATTGAATTTATTGGTTAATAAAATTATATAGGTTTCAGGTATACAATTCTGTAATACATCAGTTCATTGCATCATATGTTTAATATCCCAAGTCAAGTGTCTTTCTATCACCATTTGTCCTCCTTTACCCTCTTCTACCTCCCTCTGCCCTCTTCCCTTTGGGTATCACCATGCTGTTGTCTGCGTCTATGTGTTTTGTTTTGTTTTGCTTAATCCTTTTACCTTTTTCTCCCAGTCCCACACACCCCCTCACTTCTGACAGCTGTCAGTGTGTTCTCTATCTATGAGTCTATTTCTATTTCGTTTGTTAGTTTATTTCGTTCATTAGATTCCACATATTAGTGAAATCATATGGTACTTGTCTTTCTCTCATTGTCTCATTTAGCATAATGCTCTCCAGGTTCATCCATGCTATCGCAAAGGGTAAGAGTTCCTTCTTTTTTATGGACAAGTATTATCTATTGTGTAACTGTACCACAGCTTTTTTATACACTCATATACTGATGGACACTTGGGATGCTTTCAGATCTTGGCAATTGTAAATAACACTACAATGAACATAGGGGTGCTTATGTTCTTTTGAATTAGTTGGAACCAGACTATTTCTTAACATCTCTTCCCCTGGTCCAAACCACTAGATTATTGCAGTTAACTCCTAGTGGATTTCCTACTGTTGCATGCATGCATTTTCTCTTATCTTTGCATGCAGCTAGAGTAATTCTTTTAAAACTCAACACATTATATCAGGTTTCTCTTTCTTGCTGAGAGTGCATACAGTCATCTATAAAGCCCTGACATAATTTACATCTTTTCACTAATCCCATCTACCTCCTTTGTTCTAGCCACTCTGGCCTCTTTGCTGTTCCATAAGCTCTCAACTCAGGTCCTTTACACTTGCTGTTTCCCATGCCTGGAGTCCCCTTCACCCTCATCTACTTCAAACCTTTTCTTAACTATTATTTTTCCCCCATAAGGCTTTTCCTGACCACTGTACTAAAATAGACTCTCCTCCCCACCCCCACACAGTAATACGTACCTGTATTACCTGCTTTATTTTTCTCTACAGCACTTGGCACCATCTGAATTGTATGTACTTCATTTATTTGTTAGTTTTACCTGTTTCTCTGTGATAGAATAAATTCACTAAAGAAGGGATTTTGTTTTTTGTTCACTGCTAATATTTTGGTATCTGGAATGGTGTCTGGCACATAGCATACTCTGTAATATTTATTAAATGAATTAATTAATTCTTACCATAATGCCAGGAGATTATTATCACACCTCACCAATGAGAAGGATACACCACCAAACCACCACCAAAAAGAGCAACAACAAAACAAAAATTGAGGCAATGAGGTTAAATAACTACTCAAACACTTTAAAACATTAAACCTTTTAAAATGCCAATTAAGACAAGGTTTTAAATGATCTATGGTATAACAAAATAATGGAATAATATGTAGCTTTGAAAAGTAATGAAGGCAATCATTTTATATTCTGGCAAGGAATGATCTCGGAGGTATGTTGCTAAGTAAGCCAAAGAAGTATCATATGCTATCATTTGTTTGAACATCAGGGGAAAAACACACATTTGCTGGTGTATCCACAGCCTAAATCTGGGAGAATGCACAAGAAACATTGATTCCCACTGGAGACAGACACTAGGTGACTATGGATAATTGTCAGAGGTGGCTTGTCTCTCTATGAATGTTTGCACCATTTAAATTTTGAGCCATCTAGATGTGCTACATATTCAAAAATAAAACAAAAGAGACACCTAGTAAGCGAAAAGAAAGTGACATTTAAATTTGGGACTGCCTGCCTCAAAAGCCCATTTTCTCTCCACTAGCCAATACTGTTTCACAGAGGAATACAGCAGAACCAATACGTTTCCTTTTTCTAGTAGGTTGAATTCTTGCACGTCGTCTCAAATATATAGGTTGCAAAGGGATATTCTCTTTCAGGGGAATGAATGTCAACAATGATAACAATAAGGAGAAATGTGTATACCTTTCTTGGTTTTCTGAAATAATTCCTTTTCTCTCCACAGTTGCTGGCTGGCAGTTTTGGATGACAATGATTTTATAAGAAGTCCATTGTTGTGGTCACTCATTCTACCTGTGACCATTATCCTCATCATCAATGTTGTTATATTTATTGTCATTACAGTCAAAGTGCTGTGGAAGAATAACCAGAATCTGACAAGGTAAGATTCCCAGTGAATGGGAAGCTCCAGACACGACTCGTTGAGCACACGATAAGTGCCGTAATACATCCACACTTCCCAGAGGAGTTCCAGACTCTGGGACAATGGAGGGGCATCCGGTTTGCAGAACAGACTTCTCTCTTAAATTTTGTCTCAGAAAGTGGATCTTCCCATTTTCCATCATTAGCAACGTGTGTGGGTCTGCTGCGTCGCATAGCACACAGCTGTGCTGTATGAGCCCAGCTAAAAAACTCATCCCAAATTTCTCCCAAACACTCAATAAATCAGACTTGAATAAAGAAATGATAGGGTTGTGCCTGTGTTTGGAAAGCCATTCTATGGCTATTGTTTATTAAGATTGTATTTTGTGCTAAGCATTGTGCTTAATATTTTACATGAATTATCTAATTTACCTCAACCTGGAAGGGCAGGCACTCTTTCTTTTTCTCTCTGTTTTATAAGTAAATAAACTTGAAAGTGGTGACATTAAGTAACTCACACAGTCAGTAAGTGGTGGAACCAAGACACAAACATTACCCAACTTCAGAGCCTGAATTTTGAAAAAATAATACAATATTTCTTCAAATCAGAAAATCTCTGCTTATATAAAATTAAAGCAAATCCCCCAATAAAAGGATTATGCATCCTTAAGAATAAGCATTTCAGAGGTATTTATCTTAAGCTCTTTATGTTATCCTGTTCTTTAGTCTTGGTATTTATTTTGTGTTTGTTTTAAAACAGGAAATATAAATGGACATTTTCCAATTTTACCCATTTATCTTTCTCCTCCCTGGATGGACTTCTCAGTCTATTCCCAGACCTTTTGTTCAGTCCCAGCCCATTCCCTCCTCTTCTTCCTCTTCCACTTGGGTGGCCTTCACTGAGGTCTTTATCTCATGAAACTCCATCATTCAGTAGTTCATTTTTCATTTATTGTTTCATGCATGTCAAATTTTGCTCCTCGAGTTGATTATACAAGTTAATAACACACAAATTAATTACTCTGTGAAATCTAGGATTGTGTGTTATCTTTGTTTTTCCTCACAGAGATGATTACTGAAGGAAATTTTGTAAATATGATATTAAGCAATTACTTGATTTTTTTAACACCAAGAATACTGAAGTGCTTTTGTTAGTCTTATAATATCTAGTTACACTTATGTTATATTATTATTGGAATTTTATTGAAACAATCTTTGCTGCATTATATAGGTATAGCATATTTTACCTACATGCTATAGGTATTTTAAGTAGATATATAATGAAAGCTATTAGAACATGTAAAATCTAGACTGCAAGGGTTGATGAATTTAAGAGCCAATAAATTGGTTAACAATTTTACTTTGTTGTTTCAATAATGATATTATTAAGCTATCTTTTTAGAGCTCCTTTGCATCTTTGGTATTTGCCTTAAAACTTTGCATTATTCTGAAATAAAATAACATTGTTTATAAAAAGAAAGAAATAGGGTTGTGAATAGAAGCTGTATTTTCATTTTATAAACTAATAGCTATAGGCTGTGTTTTACATGTGTTGCTTGAATCACATAATGGCCTTATATTTTTTAATTACTTGTGAACATATAATAATAGGGAATTTCACTTAAAATATATTTTTTCTTTTTTTTTTAATCTTTTTTTTTAATATTTTACTTATTTATTTATTTTTTAGAGAGGGAAGGGAGGGAGATAGAGAAACATCAATGTGCGGTTGCTGGGGGTTATGGCCTGCAACCCAGGAATGTACCCTGGCTGGGAATCGAACCTGGGACACTTTGGTTCCCAGCCCGTGCTCAATCCACTGAGCTACGCCAGCCAGGGCTATATATTTTTTTCTTGAAAAAAAAAAAAAAAAGACAAACACTAAGCCCACATTCCCTGCAGATGAGGCACATACTCTCCGGTTTATCAGTTTTCATGTGGACTGCTTCTCTCCTTCATATATCCTTTCTGACCTCAATAAGCATTGCAATGTATATTTATATGTATATATATATAGTATGGTTTCACTTGGAGAGAGAAAAAACAGAAACTATTAAATATGTATACCTTCCCCCCCAACCTCCCACAGTACAAACTGGATAAAACACAGTGCTAATGAGGCTATGAATTCAGTTTTAATTTTGTAAGACTCTACTTAGCCCAAGTAACTTACTGTAAGCACATCTGTGAGCTTTGCGGGTTACCAAATGAATTCACTTGGTATTAGTAGATGAGTGAAAATTACTATCATCAGTGGGAATATAATCTTAAATATGTGATTTACTGATCAAGAGTAATATAATTTTTCCTATATGAATGATAGTCCATTAGAGGGGAAATATAGAGAAATATTATCAGTGATAATCATTCAAACCTATGTTGTATTAGAAATGCAGAAAGATCTCAGTGAAGTCTTCTCAGACTAATTGCAAATTAGGTTATATTTTTCTTATACAAAACTATCATTTTGGCCTCAGGCATCAACCAGATTTGTCTTTGTAAATTTTGGCTGAGAGCACATGGCTCTTAAATTAGTTTAGTTACTATAAAAAACAGGTTATAATTTAATTGTTTCACAAGTTATCTTTCATGTATCAGTTAGCTTTCACGGATAACAAACCACCCCATGGCTTAGAATGACAAGTATTTATTGTTTGTCATAAGTTTGAGTGTTGGTTGGGTAGTTACCCTGGTTTTGGCTGGCTCAAATGTGGATGGATGATCTAGGATGAGTCACTTTCATGCCTGTAGCTAGTGGCTGGTTGGTCTTGAGTGGTGGCTGATCAGTGGGAAAACTCATCTCTGTTCCATGTGCTCTCTCATCCTGCATTAAACTAGTCCAGGCTTCGTAATGCAGTGGTCTCGGGGTTCCAAAGAGCAGTAAGAGAAGGCACACTCTAATAAAAAAATGCTTTCAAACCTCTGCTTGTAGAACAGTTGCTGATGTCTTACTAGTCAAAGTGAGATATTTGTAATTGTCTCACTATCAAGGGAAGAAGATAACTCTGTACTTTAATAACCTTTCATTCCCATATCAGCCTACATCATGGGAAGGTTCCAGGTGCTCCCCAAATGATTTCTCACTAGCTAATCCAGTAGTAATAATCACTAAAATAAAATTCTCTTCCAAAGAAATAATTGATTCTTTGTGAAATTTGCCTGTAAGTATTGAAGGAACTGCTTATGCCTGATACAGGTATCACTGTATTTCTTAATAAAGTTTACTAAATCAGATTGTGTCCAGCAGGACATAGGTCTAACATCATTTTTCCACCAGAGGCATAATATCGTTAAATGAACAGTATATATGGGCAGCTGAATATATATTCTAAATAGTAGGGTAACAATGGCATTAATAAGGAAAAAACTGAATGAACATCGTTTTTTTTTTCTTTCTCTTATCTAGCACAAAAAAGTTTTCATCACTAAAGAAGATTCTTAGTACATTATCTATTGCAGTCGTTTTTGGAGTCACCTGGATTCTGGCATTCTTTATGCTCACTGATAATGAAGACATCAGGATCATCTTCAGCTACATATTCTGCCTTTTGAACACTACACAGGTACGGATTAGTCTGAAAGTAGCAGACCCTGGATCAAAGTTTTCTCCTTTTAAAACTTCCTGAAGGTCATTGCTTTGTACCTTCAGGAGATTCTATTTTAATCCTTTGAGGGAAGTCAAAGGAAAGATCTTTATGACTTACCTAATATGTTCTTTCCTGTGCTGAAGTGCCATAGAATACATTGCAGTAAGGCTGCATCATATTAGTCCCTCCTCTCTGTGCAGAAGAGACTTTGTCAGGCAAATAGTTTGGGAAACACTCCTTTTCCTTTTCTCCCACAGAGCATGTTCACAGCAGCTCCTCACTGTGGTTGTACCGACAATGTTACAGTTATTGCTGGAAACTGGATCCATGTGGGGTGGGCTGAATTTTCTCTTTCTCTTTTAAAAATTTTATAAGATTATGATATTTTCTTTAAAAAATTTATTGAGGAATCAATGGAAATATTTGACAAATATAATCATATATTAAGTGTACAATGTCATGATTTGATATACTTATACATTGTAGAATAATCACCAAGATTATTAACATAATTAACAATCCACATCACACAGTTAACCTTATTTTTTAATTTTCATTGTTCAATTACAGTTCTCTGCATTTTGCTCAGATTACTCTCCTCCACCCTACCCTGCCCCACTTTCCACATTCAGTCCTCCCCGCCCAGCATTGTCTTCATCCAGGGGCCCTTTGTGCATGCTCCTTGCATAGTTAACTTTTTTGAGTCTGTGGTGAGAATGCTTAACTATTCAGCAGCTTTCAAATGTACAATATCATATGATTAATTAGAGTCACCGTGCTTTACATCAGACCCTCAGAACTTACTCTTTTTATAACTGAAAATTTGTACTCTTTGACCTATATTACCCCATTTCCCCCTCCCTCCAGCTCCTGGCAACTAGCATTCTATTCTTTTTTTATGAAGTTGGCTTTTTTAAAAAAAGATTCACATATAAGTGATACCATACATTATTTGTCATTCGCTGACTGACTTATTTCACTTGTCATAATGCCCTCCAGGTTCATTCATGTTGTTGCAAATGGTAGAATTTCTTTCTATTTTATGGCTGAATAGTAATCTATTATTTATATAGGTATAATAAACATATATAATATAAATTTATAAACTTATTTATAAAAATATATATATCACACTTTCTCTCTCTTTTTTTTAATCCTTACCTGAGGATAGGTCTATTGATTTTAGATCAAGGGGGGGACACACCCACACACACATACTGATGTGAGAGAAGCATTGATTTGTTGCCTCTCATACTCACCCTGACCAGGGATTGAACCCCCAACCTAGGTATGTGCAATGACCAGCGATGGAACCTGCAACCCTTTGGTGTACGAGTCAATGCTCCATCCAACTGAACCACCCAGCCAGGGCACATTTTCTTAATCATTCACCAATCAAAAGACTTTTAGGTTGTTTTCATATATTGGTTGTGGTGAATAATGCTTCAGTAATCATGGGTGTGCAGATATCCCTTCAAGATACGGATTTCATTTCCTTTGGCTATTCTTCCTTAGGTCTTCTTCAATGCTTCATTGTTTTAGGTGTAAAGGTCTTTCACTTTCTTCAGTTAAATGTACTACTGATTATGTGTCATTGTTTTTGGTGCTATTGTAAATAAAATTGTTTTCTTTGTCTTCTCGATAGTTTGTTATTAGTGTACAGAAATGCAACTGGCTTCCATGTGTTGATTTTGTATCCTGCAACTTTACTGACTTCATTTCTTTAGTTCTGACTAGTTTTTGGTGGAATCTTTTGGTTTTCCTATATATAAAATTCTACAAGAGGGCTCGTTTGATAGGAGCAGAACCTTATGAAGTATTTTTGTGTGACACAATTATACATAGGACTGAAGATGCTTTTATTCCTTGAGTCTTATCTCAAGGATATGTTTAATCATAAATCTTTTAAAGAACATTTTATTCATACTTTGTTTAAAAATTTGAAATGAAGATTTATGTATTTTTTCCTTTGGAAACCATCCTATTAACATATTGAGAACATCTACTATAAGAAACTAAACATTTAGACAAGGTATTATGGTCATCTTCTGATTTTCATTATGGCAAAAATAGTGATATAGATGACCAAAATGGTAGATTAAAGATAAAAATAATTCTGTTTGACCTCAGAGGATTTTTGTTTTTATACTTTTATACTTGTGTATTATGTAGGGGAGTAACAAAACTTTAAGATAAAACACGGATTTATTTCTGAAAGACTTACCTTGAAATCAGAATTTCTCTCCATGCTTTTTATTCTGTGCCTCATCCTGTGGTGAACATTGCCTTTTGCTCTGATGAAAAATATCACAAGGACTTTTCCATCTGGATATGGAGTCTTAACTTTCCTTTCATGAGCTGGCTGAGTGAACTATATTTCAATATAATAAAATTACCCTTCTTTGAAAGTACCCACACTACACCAGGATCATTTGTGTGTAATCTCTGAATCACTTGTATGAGGCAAGGAAAGGAGTTCACTCTTTATACTTCAGACTTCCAACCTTAAAAGCAGTTCCTAAATTCCATATTTTGTATTATTTAAAAAAATTTCCAATTGGATGTTTATTAAGATTACCTTCTGACAATATGTTTATATGTCACATATGTACTTTTTAAAGGTAATAGATTTAGTTTTCAAATTATTTTTATAAAATCTTATTTGCCTTTAATTTGTTCGTCAAAGACTGAGAAAGGTGTGTAAGATTTCTTTTTATGCTATCTTGCTACCAATTTTTCTTATAACATTTAACTATCTTTCCATAACTTAATGCTGTATTATCATGATCCTAGAAATGTATGGATGTTGTATATTTCTGGTGCATTTTACCTTTTATCAATATAACAGGTATGTCACTTTCAGTCCCATTTTGTCTTCAAATCTGATTTTCCATATGTTAATGCAGCAACTACTAATTTGTGTTTATTTGATCTTATTTAATCTAGTTTACTGGTTCTTTTATCTTTATGTTTGCTGTGTCACTGCTCTTGACATCTTGTTTTAGACCCTATGTGTTTAGATTTAAAAAATTATTTTCTCATTTATTTTCATTTTGTTGAAAAAGATAACCTTTTTAGTTATTTAGCTATCAAAACTAATATAACCTTATTTTGTCATCTTATTTTCTTTTTTCACATTTAACCATGATTTTTCCTTAGTTTATATATTGTGCTATATAAATGATGTTCTCTTTAACTTAACCTTCTCTAATAACTAGAACACCTTTATTTTGTCAATTATTATCTTTGTTCATTAAACATTACTACAATTTGTAAGATTACAGTTTTCAATTTCCAGAGTAAAACTGTATGTATTGATTCCTCCCTTTTGGGGGTAATAATATTAACACAGTTTAGCTGCCTCCTACCTCCTGGTTTTATTAGTACAATTTAAAATTTATCTTTTGGGGGAGTGTTTCTCCCCATTGTCACACCATCCCTTAATTTTTTTTGTAATAACCTTGGACTCATAAGAATTTATAAAACAGTACAGAGTTCCTATGCCCTCCACCTAGCTCTTCTACTGATGACACCCTATACAACTACAACATATGGCTAAACCAGGGAAATTGACATTGGTGCAATCCACATAGATTATTTATTTATAAGCTTTAATCCTTAAAGTGATTACTTTAATTCTAGCTTTATTAACATAACTCAAGTAAAATAGAAGTATTGTTGTTTTATAATTTCATTTGTTCCATTTCTTCTTGTACTCAAAAATTAACTTTTTACACTTAGAAGTCTTACCTCCTCAACTAAATTGTTAGTTACTCTAGTGCAAGTAACATGCTTGTATATGTTTTTTGCAGCATTTAACATCTTGTTTGATATCAGGATGGCCTATACTTCTCTATATATTTTGTGGCATAAACTGCATTGTTTGGTGATTGTCTCATTAAGTTGCTAAGAATAGTGATGACTGTGTGTAGTGGATATGTTGGTTGTTTCTGGCTTTGCTCAAATAGTACTGAGGAGGAAGTCTGATTCAAAATAGAAATCATTGGGAGAGCACTAGATAAATTTGACTTGACTGAAAATGATGAGGAGTCTGTAGAGTGCAGTGTAGAGAGTGGCTTGCCTGTATGAATTGCTAACATTGAGTTTAATGTTTGTAAGCTCCTCACCCTCCATCCCAGGTACCCTTGCCACTGCCTTTTCTGACTAACTCCCTTAAACAATGGATGTGTGTCTTCTGCTAAATTTAAAAAGATATAAGGCAGTTGTAAAAATAGTACAGGGCTCCCATGTACTCTTTGTCCAGCTTTCCCCAATGATAATACCTTGTATAACCCCAGTATATTGTCCAAATCAATAAATAGACATAGGCACAATACTGTCTACTCAACTACAGATGCTACTTAATTTGTTAAGTTTGGGGGGTTGTGAGTGATGAGAAAAGGGTGGGTGGCAGGGTGAAATAAAATCTATTCCCTGAGCCCTGGCTGGTGTGGCTCAGTGGACTGAGTGCCAGCCTGTGAACCAAAAGGTCGCTGGTTTGATTCCCTGTCAAGGCACATGCCTGGGTTGCAGGCCAGGTCCCCACTAGGGGGCATGCAAGAGACAACCACACATTGATGTTTCTCTCCCTCTCTTTCTCCCTCCCTTCTCCTCTCTCTCTGAAAATAAATAAATAAAATATTTTAAAAAAATCTATTCCCTGATTCTGTTCTCAACACTTATCTAACATTAAGCTTCTTTTTCTCTCTGCCAGGGATTGCAAATTTTTATCTTCTACACTGTCAGAACACCCATCTTCCAGAATGAAGCTTCCAAAGTGTTGAGGTCGCTGTCGTCATCTGCTGGGAGAGTGAAGATGATGTCATCAGCACCCTCAATGAGGCTGCGTGTGAGGATGTATAACATGCTCAAGGCATGGCCCACCCTAAATGAACACTTCAGGCTGCTGGATCCATCTGTGGTTACGGAGGAAACGACACTCTCTGAGAGTGACCAAACACAAGTGCCTACACAGTAAAACTGTTGCCTTCTGTGGTCCTTTTTATTCAGCTTGTGTGAGTTTTGCTTTTTCTATTTCCTTCCATTAGTAGCCAGTCCTTCCAGAATGTCACCCTCAATATATTTTGCTTAAGATTAAAAATCAGGTAAAACCTGTTGTTTATTATCATCAGGGATAATGGATCTGGTAGTTTTTCTATTATTCAACAGATTTCTTGCTCAAATGAGCTAAAGAATTCCACCAAGCCCACAGAGAGGTAGAATTCTAAGTTTTTAGATGTTTTATCACTATGTTGTACACCTGAACCTAATACATTAAATTTCAAGAAAAAGGGGGGCCACAAGTGTATACAAGTGTCATCATCTTCTCAAAAAGAGTTCAGTTGTTTGGGTAGACCACATTTCACTTATGCACTCACCCATTTATGGGCATTCGGCCATTCCCCAGTTTTGAAAACTATGAATAAAACTGATATAAACATTATTATACTATGTCTTTGTGTGGACGTGTGTTTTCTTTTGAAATACCTAGTATAATTGTTGCATCATAGGGTAAATATACATATTTAACTTGGTAAGTAACTGCTGAACAGTTTTTCAATGTGGTTGTACCATTTTATACTACCAACAGCAACATACAAACTTTGGAATTAGTTTTTAAAGTCCTGACTTGTGAATAATTTCAAAATGTAGGTTATACATCCCTTTTTCAAGATACTGATCATGTTTCTAAAAACAATCCCACTTAATAGATCTTTTGTTTTAGACAAAGAAGAGGGAAAAATAAAAGCAGAGTGGTATGATCTAATGCTCCTATCTCTTTTGAACTATATTTCCCAGGGAACTATAGTCCAATTTTTATCTTCTTTCAGTAGAGCTTTGTTACACGTGGAAGTATCACATTGATAACTTGCTGAACTTTGATAAAAGCTGCTATGAAACTGTGATATAACAGCTGAGACCTTCTGAACCTTTGCACTGACAAAAAAAAATGTATTTTTTCCAGTCACAGTACTTGCCGAGCCATTGCAGATTAGGAAGCATTCAGGATGGGGAATTGTGGACCTAACTATAAGTTATGTGACTTGAGGCAAGACACTGGCATCTCTGGGCATAAGCCTGAGGCTCTACCTTTGTAAGGGCATGGGTGAGACTAGATGAACTCTAAATTCCTTACCAGCTCTAAACTTCTGTGACTCTAACTGCAGGCTTAAATTATTTTAAAATGATCTTAAAATCCTTTTCCCACCTAAGTATTACATGTGTATATTTTTCTTAAAAAGAAAAAAAAATAAAAAGAACACTCCAGATAGAGCCAAAGTTCCCTTTGACTATTTTCTACCAAACCCAGGCCCTTCCTCTCCCCTTCCTTCCAATTCTCTCTCCACAGTTAACCACCATAATAAGTTTGGTGTGTATCTTTCCATATTTCAAGAAATAGGTATACACAGAATTATATGCCCATAGAAATTTACTCATGTGTGCCTTTTTCTTCTCTTTTCTTTCCTAAATAAATGATATACAGAACTAATTCAGTTGACTCCAAGACCACTTCAAGGTTCAATAATTCAGTAAGAGAACTTAGAGGATTCAGCACAGTTGTATTCTCTGTGCTGCAAAACAACATAAAACAAAATTAGCAAAGGAAAAAGGTCATAGGCATGGATAAAAGGCTGGAGAAAACCAGGCTCAGGTTTCTGAAAGTCCCAGTACAGTCACACAGGATGTGCTTCGCTCCTCCAGCAATGAACTGTGACTGCGCGCCTGAAATGCTGTCTGCCGGGGATGCTCATAAGAAACTCAGTGCCCAGGTGTTTCATTTGGGGCTGCTCACAAAGACACCCTCTGCCTGGCATATACCAAAATTCCAGAAGGCAACCAGGTGTGCAGCATCAAACACATTATTTATACAAAAAGTTTAGGCACAATGCAACATTGTTATCAAAGAATATTGGGAAAGCTTCCAAAATTCTATTTCCTGGACATGAGTTGTGGGCCAGCCTTCTAAACTGGTCTAAGTATTGCAGTTTCAGGCTGCTATGTTAACTCTTTTCTGCACAGTAACAAAACTTTCTGAAACTTGCTTTTTTCACTCAATAAAATGTTTTTGAGATCTAATTACATGTGTATGAGCATATGTTTTTAATTACGCTATAGTCTTTTACTTGAAAATAATACATTAATGAGCATCTATCTGTGTTCTCAAGTTCAAGTGTTACCACAGGAATAGAGTTGCTGAATCATATAGGGTTGGACATTTTAGATATTGATAAGTATTACCATACACCCTTTAGATTTCTATCAATTTATGCCCACCACAAAAAAGTATGTCAATTTTGCCATAGCCTTTTCCATAAAGTATTATGAAACTTTTTGATTTTTATCAAACTAGTATGTGAAAATGACATGTTGTGGTTTTACTTTACATCTTTGCTTATGAGTGAGTTTTTCTTCAAGGAAATGGCTTCCTGAGTATGCCTTGTTTAATTATGCATCTCCACGGCAGGACAAAAGCAGGATCATCAGCATAAATGTTAGATTAGAGATTTGAAAGCCTCCAAGTACCAGAGGCTGATTTGACATGTATGATTTCTAGAATCTGACATTCAGGTTTCCTAAAAGAGCAGAAAAAAGCTACTCTTTTTTTTTTAATATTTACTCATTTATTCATAGCTAGTGTATTTTTAAAATTTTATTTTTCAATTATGGTTGACATTTCATATTATTTTGTATTAGTTTCAGGTGTACAGCATATTGCTTAGACAATTACATAATTTAAAAAGTGATCCCTCTGATACTTGAAATACTCACTTGGCACCATGCTAAGTTGTTACAATGTTATCAACTACATTCCCTATGCTATTCTTTACATCCCCATAACTATTTTGTAACTACCAATTAGTACTTCTTAATCCTTTGATCTTTTTCACCCAGCCCCAAAATCCCCCTCCCTTCTGGCAACCAAGAGTATGTTGATTAAGTTACTCTTAATCAAATGAAAAGTTGTGAGATGTCCTTGTACATCTTGTGGCTTAGTCTTTCAAGAGTGCACAGAGGACACAGCACTGGTTCTGGGAAACATAAATGAGAAAAGGCAAACAATTTCAAATTACCCAGAGATAAAATCCTATACTTTTGGTGAAGCAGGATAGTAAGAAGCTAGGGAAATTCTTTGACAAGTGACATAAGGGGAACTGAGACAAAACAATTAAACAGGCCAAACAATTTGAGCAATTCAGTCAGCTAGTGAATCACAAGGTTTTATCTTTCCTAACCAAGGACACCTAGGAGCAAATGGTTTACACAATCCAGTATGTCCCAGGGAAGACTGGCCCCAGTCCTGGTCCCTCTGCAATGATGTTCTATGGAAATAAAACTAACCTAGCCAAAGAACATGTATGAATGACCCATGGACATGGACAACAGTGTGGGGATTGACTGTGCGAGCAGGGGGCAGGCTGGGCGGAGGAGAGGAAAGCAGCGAAAAACTGGGACACATGTAATAGAGCAATAAAATATTTAATACAAATAAAAAATTAAAAAACTAACCAATGACCCTATATGCATATTTTGATGAATCAACATATCAAAGGACATGCTTTGAAACCTAAAGGATATTCTGTTAAGACCCTTCCCTGAGACAGCCCCTAGGATTTCCACAGGCCAAAGAAAGATAAAAAGCCTCAAGACAAAGGACACATGCCGTGCTTTCTTCGTGCTCTCACTGGAGCACGCCCACACCTGTATCTCTGCTTTCTCCTAAACTCTAAGGGATCCCATGAGACTTGCAGTTGAGAGCACCCCCTTGGGAAGGGGTCATGTTATATAGTCTTTCTCATAAGTCAGCTGGCGACTGCTTGGCGAACTGCCTACAGAGCAACCTGGCACCTAGGAATAGACAATAGTAACACCAGCTAACTATACTATTCACTCAGCTTTTATAGAATGTAGGTTCACTCAAGGCAGAACATCAACATGCTTTAATATCCTACTCACGCTCTAACAATCTAGGAGGAACACACAGCAGTCAATGGGGGGTAACGAACCCAAGTCTCAGCCAGCGGGTCCGGGGGACAGTACAGTGGGAGCCAGGAGAACAATGGGCAGTGGCAGCTCATCCTGGGCTTACTCTTCGACCCTATCTCCAGGGCCCCCTTTTCTCTGACTTTCCAGTGAGCTACCGCAGTGCCACCTTGACTCACTTCTGTCACAGTGACTTTTAGTTCTCAGTGAGACAAAGCAGCCCTGCCTAGGCTCTCTCCTGCCGCTCCTTCTACCTTAAGCCCTTCCTTTGTTTCATTGTCCCCAGCTTTAATAAGCAGACTCTCAAAATCACCTGGACACATGTTGTGAAATCTTCCCTGGGCAAAGACCAGAACCTGCACACCATTGGCTCTCCCAAGGCAGAACAGCTCCTGCCCAGATCCTGCCTGGTAACATTGGGAACTAGGAACTCACCAGTGATGGCTGCTCACTGTTTCTGGATGGCCCTATGAGTTTTCATTCTTTCATTCAATAAACATGTATTAAATAACTAGGAGGGGCAAGCCTCTAGGGTTATACAATAGAGGAAGAACTGTCTTCAAGGAGCAATTTCTCCAAAGAGAGGTTGGACATAGAACCCCCTGGTAAGGCAAAAACATTTTAGGGTCTCAGTGGATGTGCAACTGACAGGGCAGACTGAAGTGCTTTGTTTAGCTGGTGCTAAGAATGACTCACTCAAAGGTGCATGGTAAGAATATCATAATTTTTTCCTTTATCAACTCTGCATGGGGTGGCAGCTTCTTTTGTTTATAAGAACAGATTTTTTTTAAAAAAATATTTTATTTATTTATTTTTAGAGAGGGAAGGGAGGGAGATAGAGAGAGAAAGAGAAACATCAATGTGTGGTTGCTGGGGGTCATGGCATGCAACCCAGGCATGTGCCCTGACTGGGAATCGAACCTGCGACACTTTGGTTTGCAGCCCACGCTCAATCCACTGAGCTACGCCAGCCAGGGCTTATAAGAACAGATCTTTATGTTTGGCCAATGGTGGGGAGGCTGATCTGCCCAACTGACCTCTATTTGGTTCTTGTAAGTTTCCCCTTCTGTTCGGAGTTTGCTCATTTAGCTGACTGTCTCTATAGCCACAACAGAGATCTTTCTGAAGAGGGACCTAACTTCTTTGAAATTCTCACACCAGGAGAAACGTACATCCTTTCTTTGGCTCCTCTGAGGGTGGCTCAGATGACTGAAATTTTCAGAATGACTTATACTAAATGCTAAAGGGGACGATGAAACACAAGTTTCACCCAACTTGCTTATGAGGTTCATAGTCTTTGTTCCATTTCCTGTATACTCTGCAAACCTCCTTTCCTCATTCTTAGGATTCCTCCTTTTCTGTTTGAAGAGTTCTAAACAAACAGACTTTCAGGGAGACAGAGCAGATGGTAGATACGTGAGCTGACTGCCTCTCTCAAACCCACAGTATAATACTGTAAAACATGGAAA